TAGTATATCATCAGGCACACATGTACACAATATACATGTCAGAAATGTACTTCTAGTTATAACAGCATAGATTGTAATATTACAATACATTACAAAGCCTACTTCTAATTGACACTAGGAGTCTGTCACAACACCTCTAGTCTCTACAAGGTTACACACAAATTTAGTCATATTTCTTGTTGTGGCTAAAACTGGTCAGTGGACCTTTCAGTGAGGTGCTTTCACAATGTCAACAACAAATCTTTCAGATGTTTTGTACCTATATGTTTGTCAGGATGCAGTCATGGTTGAGAACATGCACGATGTGCCGTACTTGTTGGGAAGTGGTGTTGGCCATGAGGTGACGGCCACCATGACAGCAGTGTGCCGGGAGGTCCGCAGAGTGTGTCCTCGTGTGCCATGCGGTGTGCAGGTTCTGTCGGCAGCCAACAAGCAGGCGTTGGCTGTGGCTCTTGCTGCAGGTAACAATCATAATCTTGATCAGCTCAATAGGAAAGTGAAAGCACAGCCAGTGCACCACATATGATGGAATCTAATCTCAAATCAGATCCTTTGGTGGCAAACTCATAACCAACTGGCAAGGCAGATCTCATTAGCCAGGTATTGTCAGCCTTTGTAGTGGCTGTGTTTCCTGTTGGTTACGATTTTGCCATTGAAGGATCTGCTTTGAGATTATATTCCATCATCTGGTATACTGGCTGTGTAAGAGGAACAGTGATCGTCATGTGTGGATATCAACTCTGAATAACAAAAAAAGCAATTTATTAACTTGTATAATGTTCTTGTGTTCAAAAGCCATAATCTTTTAAGCCTTGATCCTGTTCTCTGTTAATCCCTTTGCCCTAATGCAGCTGTTGCATTGACCACTATGAGTAGAAAACAGAAGGCTATTATGAGATTATGGGCCACCCTTGTGATGTTGTGCTAACGAAGCGAACTTCACAGTCTTTGATACAATGCCTGTTAGCATGAAATTTCACTGCTTGGACTTCCAAAGGCAAGGTAAGTAGACAAGCTGTCCATTGTGTTCCACACAGGTCTGGACTTTGTGCGTGTGGAAGGGTTTGTGTTCTCCCATGTAGCAGATGAGGGGTTGCTGAACAGCTGTGCTGGGGACCTACTTCGATACAGGACACTGATTAGTGCAGACAACATCATGGTTTTCACTGACATCAAGAAGAAACACAGGTGGGCAGGTGTTTCTCATCCAAAGGTTGTATAGGATAGGAGTGTGACAGACAAGAAAGAGTATATCTACAGTCAAATTGACACTTACTCAGAGTAGGGGTCAATTTGACTGTAGATATCTTCTCATGGATACTTGATAACTGAATGAGGTTCAAGTGTTTCTGTAAGAGGTTAGACCAGTAACACCTGACATTAGTTACTTTGTGACCTGACGTATAGTTATTTTGTGACCTGACGTATATGTTTAAGTTTGTGTAAATATTTTTATGTTTCATCCAGTATTTTGTGTGTTTATACTGAGAGAATCACAATAGTCATTCTTGTCCATTCTTTAGCTCCCATGCCATCACTGGAGATGTGAGCATTGCTGACACAGCACGTGCAGCAGAGTTCTTCCTCTCTGACGGTGTCATAGTCACAGGCACAGAGACAGGCAGACCAGTGGACAGCAAGGAACTTAAAGGTGCCTCTCTCTTTTCACATGTGTAACCACACTGTTGTTCTTGAGATATACACCTGACACCACATTTGTTAAGGTAAAAAGGACTGCCCCTGTGTTGTTTCTCTGGCAGTTGAAAGTTGAGCTGGTGAGAACCTTGATGGATTAAGTAATACTCTTGTTCTTATATGTAATACCCACCACTGTCCTGTTATGTACTCTTCCATTTGTCCTTGTTACTGCATTTCATCTCTCATATTTGTGCCTTTCCTGTACTATTAAACTGACGTTTTTCCCAAGCACTTGAAAGCTGCAAGTAATCACCCTCTAGAGAGGCGAGGTAGTACATGTATTGAAGAAGCAAAGGCTACTGTAAGGACCAGATGTCAAGCCATGTCAGTGTAATGACCTGAAATAACTCAGTATTCCAGCAGCTGATTTTGTCCATGTACCCTACAGAGGTTCATCAGGCTGTAGACATTCCAGTGTTGGTGGGTTCTGGAGTCAGCACAGAAAACCTCCCAACATATCTCAGGGCCAACGGACTGATTGTGGGGTCTTACTTCAAGAAAAATGGCTTTTGGCAGAATGAGGTGGACCCGGACAGAGTGAACAGGTTTATGGATAGGTTGTCCACTCTCAGACAAAAACTCAAGTGACAGTTCTGTGCAATGGGTTAAAATTAGCAGCTGAGGGACTAGGTAATTAAAGTGCCAATGATTTTTAAGCTGTTTGGTTTAGGTACTGCCCACTGCCTGACTTGCATCATAGAGAACTAAAATAACCTGGATGGCAGCAAGACTACACAAACTACTGTTACGATAATGTAGACCAATACAATTTGAAGAACAATATGCTGCATCAGACTTATACAATGTACATTTTCCTGGAAGGGGGGAGTTAATTTCTATGCCACAATTAATTTTTTAGCAATGTTGATATCAACGTTGACACAGAAGTGAATTTCCTGAGTACCCAGTATTGAGTACTGGTGTGTGATATTTTGTATCATCATTCCAAACGATTTTAATGGCCAATTTCTGGATAATATAGTGTAGTAACTGTCAGTAATATGATACATGTATTAGAAAGATTTTACTTCATATAGTAATGCTATCTATAAAGGACCAGTCACAGAATAAAGGAACAGTCACAAAAAGGATGTGAAGAGAAATAGAAGTCTTCATTTTCATGAAACCAAGTTACACCAGATTCTGCAAGTAAACTGTACCATTTTGCCAACAAACAGCAAAAGATACCACACTGACATCATGTTACCTTTTCTATATTCTAATCTGTAATTTTTTCTTTACCAACATGAGATATTGTAAGTTGATGACACTTACAGCCTGGGTACTGTTATTGCTATTACATCAGTCCTATCATCATGTTTGATCATGTATCTGGTAATTTTTAAATTCAATACCTGTTATTGTTGAATACTTCAATACAATTACAGTTTCCAAGTCAAACCTTTTCCTATGCCACTATTTAAAGTCCTTCCCACAAAAAAATCTTTCCCACTTTCCAAAGCCATCGACTCTTCACCAAACCATCACACCATTTCTTACACAGGGTGTACTCCTTAGGAGTTATACCCTCTCCTCTCACTTACAATTAAATGTTACACAGTCCTCAACTTTTCTAACCGTAAGAACACCATAATCTACATCAATTAGCCGCCTAGCCATCTAGTACTAACTTCAGACTATGTTGATAACATCTACCAAGGAGCTTTAAATTTGATTTTTTACCTCCTTGCATCTACAATATATGTACAAAGTACTACATGTTTCATAACTTGTAGAGGTGCAAGACTTATATGCACTCAGCAAGGTGATGAGAGGTTAAAATTACATGCTGTGTTTGTTCACCCAAGGGTTGACATCACAGCTTTATCATTAGGGCTAACTTTACCCAAGATGTAGAAAGAGGGTTCCTATAGTGAGGATGTAGTTATGCTCAATAGCTTAACGTATTCAAGCTGTCAGCATTGACTTTCAGATGTCTTCTTTTTTTTTTCAAGTCAATTTTCTGTACAGCTGTAGTTTATTTTGGGATTTACTGCTGGCAAGCCTCAAATTACTTTATTACATTAGCTTTTTAAGACATCTTTCAGTCAGAACTGACTTACGAGGAAACATGACTTATCTGAGGCAGATGTGAGCACTGGGTCGCAGAGATTAGGTCCAACAAAGAGGATGTCAATCAGACAAACCCTTATCAAGGATGTGTAATGGTATCATCCTTGTGCTAGTAGTTTTATCCAATGTTTTATCAAGTGTTGCACAAATAACCATTGCGCACGGAAGTATGTTTTCAGCCCAGTGATTACATATGCCCCAACTATGGTGACATTATGACCACAGCCAAGCCACCACCATCAATATGTTTTTAGCTCATGACTATATTGCAGTTCTAGAGGAAGCAATGTCAAGTTGGTGAATAACAGAATCATTTTTTTTAGAAAGAGTGTTGTGGAAGTGTGGCTATGGTCAGACTGCCATTTTCAATATTTGTCAGGCAAAGAAACACTGGAAACAAACTCCCTGTGTTATGCGTATGCGTTATAAACATAACTATGATCTGCAGGTAGTTTCCAATGTTTCTCACCTTTTACAAGTCCACAAATTCTCAATCAGCTGCCAGGAGACTTGTTTTAACATAGCACCATGTCATCTTTTTATTGGAAAGGTTTATCTTTAATAACTTCAGCTTGCAACTTCGGGGGAAACTTTGTCGCTCGTAAAACACATACACACCTTGCCTGCACCCAAACATTCAATTCCACTTAATAATGCAGTAAGAACAAATGGTTGTGTCAAGGGTTAACACACCTAGGGTTAACAATCAGCTCATTCACGCCATCATAAATAGACCAGATATATACCTTTGCATAGCTATGGTTAAATATGTCTACCCACACATCACAACTTTTGTACCATCTACCAGAGATGTAACCATAGAATATTTTTTTTTACAATTTTCAATATTGAATGAGGTGGAAGTAGAATTCACACCTAGAATATATTACAGCTACTAATGTAATTGGTCCAACAAGTGATTTATGTACTATACAAATAGGTTTACTGTCACCAAAGCCCTTGTGATCTAAGTTGTTGTTTTTGCTGAGGGCATCGGTGATAAAGTTGTTATGTAACTAAATTTGTCACAAACACTGTACAATCCCAAGCTACACATGTACACTAGTTATCATACAGGGTTTTGTAATACATACATACATGATACATAACATTATAGTAATCATTATTATAAATTGACATTTCCACCCTTAATGCAGAGCAACAAAAAACAGAAATAATGAGATGTTCAAATTTATGTTCATTTTCCCTGAGAGCCCGAATTTGTTGATACAACAGAACATTTGTGCACACACGGCTTCTTTGAGGATTGTTTGTATCTTGTTTATAATAAGTCTGGTTAGACATGCATCACGCAAACTGTTACACACAACTGCCAAACTGATGCACTGCTTTTCCTAGAAATACGTCAACAATTATTACTAACATGGGAAACTATAACAGTTTAAAATTCAGATGGATGGTTGGTTTATGATAGATGAAAACAAATGCTAGGCTACACTGGGCCTGGGCCGAAGCCAATCACACTCTTAATAAACGGGCTCAAACTGAAGAGACAGCTGACAATGACTTCAGCAGAGCCCAAGGCACGACTTTAACACCTGCCCTTGTTGACGCGGCCCCGTGGCTGCTTGCACATCAGGCCCCGGTTGCGGTTGTGATGGGAAGCCCGGATGGGACGGCAGCTGGTCAGGTTAGCGCGCTGCAGGTTGGTCTTGCTGTACGCCTTCTTCTCGTGGCGTTCCTGGACTCGTTGAGCGTGCCGGGTCATCTTGGCCTGCTCGACGATTCCTACCCTGGCCGCGATGGCGGCGGCCCTCTGCGGTGGCCTCTGCACCACGTCTCTCCTTTGCTGCCTTGGTCCACTAGAGTCACTAGATTCCGTCGTTTCCCCCGAGCTATTGCGGGACGGCCGTTGGACGTACACGGACATGCTCGGGTGCTCTATGAGCAAGTTCTCCATGGGGTTGGTTTCCATGGCTACGGGAGATTGACCACCGGCGGTGAAGCACGGAGGCGGGGTCACAAACCAGCTCTCTTCCACAGGGTGGTTTTCAGGAATGGGAACCGGGGTGGACGAGGTTGACGGGACCTCAGCAGGCGTTGATTGAGCCAGGGCCTCCGTCTCCTTCTCCATTTGTTGTATATTCATGCCAGCTGCAGCAGAAAAAACAGTTTGTTTTTAGTGTTGAGAACAAACAAAAACACTGGTATATTATCTTAAAGCCTCTCTCGGTTTAGTCAAACTGGTAGCAATACAAAGATTACACTTATTTTGTTGTTTGCAGAATCCTAGTAGTCATTTTCTACACCAAATCACAATAAAAAGCCAGGACAATTTAAAATTTCTCAATGATCAAAGTTATGATTTTTTAAAAATCTGACAGCAAGTCTAATACAGCACTCTTGAAGCTCATCACAGTCATTAATTTATACCAACATGGTCTGCAAATCATGCATACAGTACACAGGCCAGCAATACAATCATCATTATCTGTTTACACTGTGATGTAAATATTTATGCACTGAGGCACAAATAATGTCATGAATATGAATACATTTCCTCTGTTGTCTTATAATCACCTACAGTCCCAATTTGGTGTAATAACACCACAGGGTCCATTAAACATGGTAACAACCCCACAGTAGTCACTTCATCACCATTCAAACTTGCTACAATCATCTCCACACCTTGTTGGACACAATTATAACCAACATATGAATGTATTAATATTTTATTTCCATGTAGTCATGAGCTCATTTCATGTGATACATTTCATCAACCAGAAATATTTTCCATTTCGTGAAACCAATTTCATTAGAGACTTTTTTTACCCTTCTAATCGATATATATAAACTGCAAGTTGCTCAATGTAATAGCTTTGCAGAATACTGTAGGAAATGGAAAAATATGGAAGCCAATGATTCTTTTCCTGCCTTGCATTATGATACTGTTTTTGTAGTGTTGATTTCTGTTTTTACATCAAACCTCTTCACTGCCCATAAAGGACCAGTGAAACACCTGTCAAACTTGTAAACAATACTAACCAGGGAGTTCAACTAGCACCCAGTCATCATCCAGGGTGGAGGTCTTCAGGTCACAGTCCCCGACCTCCTCAGTAGCACCGAACAGTAGGTTTGTCACAGCGTTGAACATCTTGGCACAGCTAACGTGTAGTACTTAACTCACACAATGCAGAATATCAGAACCTGGGGAGGAAAACACGGAACATGAAATCGATTAATGATTACAAATGATTAGTAATGAATTACGAATAATAGTTACTCCACAGTTAAACTAGACTGTATAATTCCAACAGGACTGAAATGGCAAAGCCTTAGTCTTCGCTTTCACTACTGAACGCATGTTGGTGACTAATGTACTTTTCAGGCAGTACCTTAAATTCTTGTTGGACCAGTTGGACCAGTAGTAACTTTCAAAACCAAATGAAAATCTACAGCTGTTGCATTGAAGTTTGTTTATAACCTAACTGTGGCCAACAAAAGACTGTCCGTGATTGCGTCTGATTGCACAACATACATAGAATACCAGTCTGTATGCTTGGCCACTCCCAGTCAATACATGAGATGGATGATGTAACACCTGGTCAAGGCAACATCTTTGTATCACCTCCTGATTGGCCCAAGCTTGAACAAATATGGCTCGTGAAATATCATCCTAAACCTTCTGGGATATTTATCCTTGGGGATGGCTTTAAATATTGCATGCGCTAACAGAGCATTAGCTGAAGTAAGCTCAGACCTTGGACTGTTTTACTTTTAGCACAGCTATACTTGGAATGGATTCTTGGTAGCAGACCTTCTCAAGCCTCCTAACTTTTGGATTAGATGTATTTATATGAGATCCGGTGAATTGAAAAACATGCTTATTAGGCCTTGGCCAGGTAAATCTAATTACATGTGTAATAGATATCACACATAACTTTTTGGCTCAGCTAAAAGAATTTAAAACATTTAAAACACTATATCTGCATCATAGCTATGTACTAGCCTCCTTCGCAGACTTGTAGGGCGGTAAAACCGTTTCTCCCCGGCAAAACTCCCTCGGCGGCAAAACTGTCCCTCTGCAGGCCAGCATATCTTGCGTTGCTTATAGAAAAAAAATTACGCCGCCGCCATACAAGTCTGCAAAGGAGGCTAGCTACCGTATGCACTATTTTTCTGACAAATCAGACTGTAATTCACCCATGCTATACAAAGTAAGGAATGATTCCCCATCAAACCCAGCTCCCTACATATTTTGACATTGCTCTACTATTACAACCATCTGTTAAACAAGTTATTAAATTTGCATGGCCTTACTGGGAGTCTCTGTGGAGCTGCATGTCAGGAATAGTCTACAACAAATCTCAGAGGACAAGTAGTTATCTAAATAACTATGACTATCTCATGAATGTATTGCATTGGGCAGGCAGACTACTACGATTAACTTAACTTGACTACTAGTACTAGTATGTTATGGGAACTTAAGAACTAACAATTCTGATGTTTTATGTAACAGTTTTATTTTGAACCACACAATCTTTGGATCACATCACATGATCTAATAGCAACCTATATCACAAAAAGCTCCTGGGAACAAGAGTCCTCTCATTCCCAGGGCTGTATAACAATAATGTATTGCAAGTCATGAACCATCTGTTACTGTTGAAATGACCCTGCTAAGTCCTTGTCCATTTTTCTTTGCAACAGCATATGGCAGGATATTTTTAGTAATTTTTCAAGGCACATGCTAATGATTTAGCTTCAGGATTGCTTTGTGAAACATGCCAACCATATCCACCTGATGCAGTAACACTTCAATGGTAATTTCTGTATATTGGTAATATTTTCTCTCATCATATGTGCATGTGGTTACAGTCCTGATTATGAATGACAAAAAACTCTAAGATACACCATTATGCAAGTCAACCAAAAAAGCAGCTTATCTATACGTGTATTCCCATTTTTCCATCATGCATCATTGGGCAGCCAAATAAACACCTGGGACCACACCCTGTATTACAGAGTTGTCTGTTGGAAATACTGCATGCAAACACATACTCATTATTCATACATTGATATATCATGTGATCTATCACGTTTTACTAATGCAAAAATCTATGATAGAAAAGCAAAATATTGACTGAACAGGAAAAACATGAAATAGTAATACTAGTATTTGTATTTGATAAAAAGAGAAACGTAACAAAACTGTGACCTAACAAGGTGAAGAGAGGAATTCTGATGCTCTACTAATGCGTATGATTACCTGTATTAGAAACAATCTCATCATTTCAGGGGTGGTAAAAAGTACTCTCACTCAGCTGGACTAATTGTGAGTACATGTATTGTGACTATTACAACAGCAATCCATTGATGCAATCATTATGATTATGGAAAACACTGAAATATTATTTTGTGAGAGAACAAGAACATCAGCATTGGCATTGACACATCATAATTTTCCCACCTAATCTATTCTGAAAACAAAGGACTTCATTTTCCCAAGTCAAGATACAGTCTTGGACTTGAGTGGGAAAAGCCAGCAAAGAATCAGTTTACTACACGTAATGTTAGAACAGCTGGAAGAGGCGGAGAGAAAAGTACTGAGCAAGTTGCCACTTCAATTTTCCACCTACTGGTCATGTAAAACCCCAAGGCCGAATTTCAATTGTAGTCACACCCAAAGGTTTTAAATAGGGTACAAGCCCTCAGGCATGTTTTAACGTAACATGATAGAAAGTTACCTAACAGGCTAACCCCAGTACAGGGTTAGGTAACTAACAGGGTTAGGTAACTTTTTATCACAAGTGTTGCTCACATAAAATACAGGGCATTTGCAAAAAGGTTGTGCATTTATTTAGTTTACACCAGCTACAATTTTGGCATCAAAATTGTACATGTCATTGTCACTTGACACTAATGAACAGGAATGTACATGTACTGTTACATCAAAGTATGAACTTTGAATAGAAATCTGGTATGAATTTAATCTGTCTACCTGTCAAAGACTTTTTGAACCACCTTGCAAAGACTAAGGAAAATTTAGCCAATGAGTTAAATGACATGTGACCATCAAAGTCACTTAAGTATGTAATATAACACCTCATCTGTACAATTCTGGTTAAACTCATAGGATTCCCATCCAACAGATGACTGTCAGAAAGCAGGCTGGCTAGGCCTGTCAGAAGGATGTCTGTCAGAAATCGGGCAGGTCAGAGGAAAATAAAGATCTCCCATCTATCATCTGCTTGGAGTGATATGGGACCTACTTGTTCTATTTTGGGCTGGTGGGTGTTTGTGGGCGGGGCTATGGGTGACTGACAGAGTTGCTGGGTGCCACTGTTTACCTGCAGTATGCTGACCTGTTTTAGGGGCTATATCAGGCTCAGTATGCTGAGTGTCAGCTGTCAAGATTACAAAAGAGCCTCAGACTACAGCAACAAGCAGGGTTTAGGCAGGTCCAGCTGGGTGGATATTCTGTTTATTTAAAACTGAATGCTAGTAGAAAGCCTAGTTTGTAATGGGCACACCTAGCTAGCAGAGCAGCAAGTCCAGACCTGTGTCTGTGGACCTGTCAATACTGGTGTCCTAATGGTATGCAAAACACGCCCCAGAGGGCAGTTTGACCTAGTCCAGTCAAGTATAGCTGCAATGTAGGAAAGGGCAAAAGAGAGGGAGAAAAAAAATCCTGGGAAAACATAGGCATGCACAATCATGCAAATATGGTGGAATGCTTGTTTGACTATATTTTCGGCTTACGTTTCTTGAACAAAATAAATGACTTGTTATATTATGGTGCAGGTTCTGTTCCCTTGACATTTACTTTGATTTGAGCAGAACTTTAGCTTCTGAAACATTTTTGACACTCAGACCATTATGAACACTGGACAATCCAATAAAGCCACGTCATAGAAGAGCTTGGGTACAGCTTCAAGATTGCCGGTTGCTAGGTTTTTGACCTGACGCTGAACGCTGTTGATGTTTGACAAAACCTTGCATCATCTGGTCATTTGCATAAGAATGTCCTGCTGCTCTAGGGTTTCACAACAAACGATTGGGCAACATCTTGATAAGGGTAGCAACGTACTCGGGCAAGACACAACCTTGATTTATTCACTTACCCGTTCATACAACGGTCCTACCGTTTCAAGATTTGGTATGACTCACTCCGGGAACTATGGTACTGCATAATTCGTGGAAATAAATTGTTTGCGTGACGTCTTAAACTATCCTGTTTAGTATTACGCCCAAAAAAGGCGCGGAACGCCCACACCCAGTTTAACGGACTGGAACTGCGATGTATACAGTAATATTTTAGTAACGTAGCTAAACACGGCCGACCATTTCAAGGGCAACATATCAACCGGGCGCTGAAGGTCAAAGTTCTGGCAGAAATCAACACCAGGCGGTCACTAACCTGGGAAACAACAAGCACTGGCGGATGTAAACATCGAACAAACCGGCAAAAATGGACGACAGTTTTCCACAACAACACATCGGCAAAAGTCTGGCTGGTTCTTTTTTCCCAAACAATAGGGAGCTTAAACCAGTCCGCTTCCACTAAAGCGATCAGATGTTTTAACCAGATACATTTTCTGAAAGCTACGGGAGGCCAGGGCCTTTCCAAGGTAATGCCATATCGGTAACGTCACTGAACAGGGCAAATTGCCAAAACGACAAAAACATTGCAAACAAATCAAATTTTACTTGGCTCTGCTTGACCGCCAAGTTGATTTCTCGCGAATTTAGCATGCCATAATCGAGCTAAACGAAGAGGTACTGTTTGATACCTCTCAAACCACATATGGGAGGTTCCCCAGAAAATTTTTAACGATTTCTGGGGCGCCGCCAACCAACGGAATATTCCACCCGAATCCATCCAGGTGCCGGTTGAAAAAGAACTCACCTGAAAACGTAAAATTCCTCTTCACAGTGTCGATAGATCCTTAGTAAGGCAGGGCAACTGTTACTTAGTAACTTGAGGTAGATAGGAAGGTGTTAAGAAGGAATTCAACGACGTTTTTGGCGGTCAATTCACGGGGAAATTTTTCGCAGCAGCTCTATTGACGTCCTGTCAGTAGTTTGTTGTGGCTTACAGAATCAGCTGATTGCTAGTGACGTCACAAACCATATATGGGCTGATGGGGGCGGAGCGATATATTTAGACTGACCAATCAGAGGAAAGTATTGGAAAAAGACCTGTCAGTGGCTTGTAGCACACCGCTGTCCATGTGATCATTGCATGATCAGCTGCTGCTAGCTATTGCAGAATGTTCCCGGCCTTATATTGCTCTGACAGACCAGGTCAGACGGGTAACAGTTGCCCAAGACGCTGTACATTCTCACACTACAAATACCCGGCCCCGAGTTGACTACTTAACTAGTCAAATTTATACCTGAAAGGAAATATCATCTGATGGAGCCAGTCTAACAGAGTTTGGGTTTAGACATATCTGAGCTACCTAAACTGCCAAGTAGGGAGGCCCAACATTGTAACCTGTAAAACCGGGGAAAGCAAAACAGTTACGAAACCCCTCACATTATCTACATGGCGATAGCCCGCATGTCAAACCGGTGGTCAGGGATTTGCGGTTCGCCCGTAAGTAGGTCATAGGTGCAAGCAGCAGCAGCTAGCTGTGATTGGCTAATGTTTGCGCCCAGTTAGCGATGATGCAAGAAATAGAAGCCTTGTATAGGACAGACCAAGATGGATCGTAAAGGAGGGGGTATATGAAAAGTTGCAACGTTGCGACTCGCGCGGGCAAAGAGAAAATTAGGTTTTGAGGGGGAAAGCAATTGTACCAAAGGTAACACGGTTTATTTCAACCTATTGCTTAAAGTTATGACAAATACAACGCTGTTGTAGTGATCACCAAGCACCATAACGTTGGCCCCTATGTCCCTTTCTCCCTATATTTTATATAAGATTAGCGTCATCACCAAACCCACTCGTGATTTTTAACCACAATCCACACATGGTGGCAGAGATGTGCCAGTTGTCCGTGAACTAGAGATGAACCCAGAGAATGTGACATTGGGCAAAACCAGCAACAGGTGGCAGCGATCCCAGGGACCCCCGGTGTGCAAAGGCCAAGGCTCATTTTCTTTCCAAGCATTAGATGTGTTGCTGCTGGCAATTTTTTTTTCAATTTAGTGATTTGATATAGGCAATGGCAGTCATAATGTGTTAAATGAGTGGAATTGTTATGGTAACCTCCTTCCGATTTAGTTCAGTGCCCAGAAGTGGTCTTTTAGTCTTGCATTGAGCAAGGACTGGACATTACACAATGTCATTGCATTGAGGAAATTCATCACAAATGTATTCTTGCAAGATTTTTTTTGTATGTCAACTCTTATATTGGTCAATTTTGGGTATAAGCAATAATGGTGAACTGATCTATTTTTGTAAACATCATGAATATCATAATATTTATCGATATAAAAATGCATTAGACAGCCACCCCTATGTTGATACTGGTTTGTCCCTACCAAACCCGGAAGTATCACCCGGAAGTGATCGTCCATTGGCAGTATACATTGCGCGGGATTTCCCCTGTACAAAGGTCTACGCATATACATCAGAAAAATCCCAGAGCTTTTCAATACCTGTTCACTTTTACAAGACGACAGTACCGCGTTGAAGATTTAACAACACGAAAGACAGTCCTAGACGACATTCCCTTCGGATAATCTTGTTAAGAGAGAGGCAACGACAGAAAAGTTGCAGGCCTGACGGTATGAAATTTTGTACAGATACCAGTGCTTGTACATGTAGTTTGATATCCACAATTTACAGTGATACCTTGTTTGTGTACTTTCGTTTTTGTATAATACATACATGTATGCCTTTTGGCACGATCCAAGAAGTAAGGCATGAAATTATGACGCAGTGATATTTATTGGAAGGAATAACGTTATAATTTATGTTATACATAATATAATATAATGTTAGAATTCCAGGTCATGCTATTTTCGCCATCCGTGACACCCTTTAATCAAAACAAACCAGTAAAATGCGGTATGGGAATGTACATTATGGCAGAGTGAATATCAAAACCCTAAGAGACGTCATTGCTATTATATGATGGTGAATCAGCTGGTACCATGCCAATGGTGTCGACTGACATGACGTGTTACTACTGTGGCAAATGTAGGTCAGCTCCACTGCACATTTGGCATACCCAGAAGTATTTGGTAGTACATGTATTCAAAAGTAAAACTGTTTTAGCCATAACAGCCCAAACCTTGATGTTTGTGTTAGCTAGACTACATTTTACAACTGTTTTAGCCATAACAGCCCAAATCGATGGATGTACCACAATGTTCCTAGAAATGGATTTAGCAACTTACCCCCCTTTTTTATTTCCCAAGGTTGTGAAAGTCAGCCATTTCAACTGGACATCTCCAGGTTTTACCAGTAGTTGAGCTACTCATACTTTTATAACACAGAGAAGACTGCCAATCAACCACCAGGTGTGCATATCTTGGGTAGAGAAGGATGCCCATCAGACTTGATCATGTGATGCACCTGCTTAGCTCTCTGGCTCAGGAGGAGAATCTCCGAGTTGCAGTGAAAGAGTCGATGAAGGGAGGACTTCTCACGGGGTTAGTAGCAGCTGCAGGAGGTCTGCTGGGAGGACCACCTGGTCTGGCTGTTGGTGAGTATAGAGATTCCTCAGTCTTCTGAGAAGATAACAAATACTGTAAATCATTCTATTTTCACAGTAGCAAAAGTTTGCGGTCTGAGAAAAATGAACATATTCATGGAACTAACGTTATGTACTAGTACGTTTGCGGTGGTTGCAGGTGCAACAAAAAGAAAGTCAGCAACTTATTTGTTCATGGTAATGATAAGTTTGAAACACAGATGTGACTGCAAAAACAGCGAATATAAAAGTACTGCCAAAAATAATGACTTACAGTAGTAAACATTATAATTTATCGTCAAAGATTTGTCCAGACAGAGTCACATTTATTGTAGACAGAGAAGACAGTGTTCTGGGTTGGCAACCGAATGCTGAACAGCACAGATGCAACAGAGACAAGTAAAGTAGCTTTACGTCTTCCCTAACATATTAAAGGTTACAGAAGTGATTTGCTGCTTTTAGCTATAATGGATCCTTGTACTGTTACTGTACAGGTGGAGCAGTGGGAGGAGCCTTGGCTGCCTGGTCGTCAGCCGGCAGGTTCAAGTCTGTGGCCACCATCATCCTGGAGATGGACCAGGACCAGCAGCTGCGGCTGTACAACGCAGTCTGGTCCATTCTGGAGGGAATCACTGCAGATGACTTGGTAACCCTGCAGGCCTTGGTGAGAGGAGATGCCATGATGAGGAAAATGCTGCTGGATGCTCTAGTCGGATATGTACAACAAGACATGGGCATGACTATATTGGACTGACATCACATTACACTAACATAAGATTTAGTGGGGTTATTTTTAGAATCCAGTTTGGAATCCAGACCAAATGTCCATTGTGGCTCAGATAATAATTCATGCTCAGGAAAAGTTTTGTGACAACATCTACACAAATTGTAGGACTGTGGACCAAGATTCAAAAGTTCTGTGAAACCAAGGAGGTTACATTTTACATGTGTAAGGTATATAACCTCCTTGGTGAAATCAAATCTGTTGATCAAGCAGGGCTTGCCCTAGCCATCCCACTTGTAATCATTTAACCTGAGTGAACTAGTAAATAATGGAGAGGCACTAGTATTTCTTTGTTGAGGCTGTAAGCTGATATAGGATGTCAGTATGTGATCTTCATCTCAAGGAGGAAGTTACATGCTGCTGGAAAACTGCATGTAGTGATTCATAAGTGTTTTAGCCATGTCCTTACGATACAAATATTGCTATCCAGATTATTTCTTAGGCCTATCTTACGTAGATATTATTGAAGGTGACAGTCAGAAAATAGACTGACAGTCAGAAAATAGACTGACACTGACACCACTTAACTAGGGGTTAACTGTTCAAAACAGTGTTTAATTTTATTTTTAGTCTTTATGTCTTGTGACTATATACCAGATATCAGTGTGTTATTTTGAAATGATGAAATGTAAGGCCAGTATCTAGTCTAGCCAACACAAACTTCAACCATAAAAGTCCTGATGGGGCCACCTCAGTCACAATCTGTTGCTATGATGAAGAACAAACTACACACATGCTTACTCTGATCAGAAAGCTTACAGATGTAGTGCCATAGATATTCCTTAGCGTGCAAATTTTGACTTCTCATGATGCTGTCTGTCAGAGATGACTGCCCTCATGAATGCTGTGACCATATCAAGCACCAATAGTGGCTGTAGGTTCACAAACATACATTACTTTAATAATGAAGTGAAAACTACAAATCATAGAAAAGGTGTTTGGAAAGTGTAGAATATAGCAGTGCCTTCAATGTCGTTCAATGTCATGTCTGATTCTGTAAAACTATAGAACAATAAATATCATTTGTCTCACTTTGTTGATGCATGTTTCATAAAAAATAAACTGTTGATGATGTACTGTTGGAAAACAACTGTATGTTCCACTGGACAAATACGACCACTGGAAGTTAAAGCTACCATTGGAGCCACAATTAGCCAAATACACATCTCAATTATCCACTATACAGTCTATTGCTTTTATAACCGTGCCGTTTGCTTGTTCTCTGTGTGTTAAGAAAGCTGCAAACACAAAAACATGAGACTGAAGTCCGTATAAATTTAATACATCTTTGGAATGACCTTGACATTCACAACAGCATCACATACATAATGAAAACCATGCAGTTCAGCTGACCAGTATTTGTAATAAAGGCACCACAGACAATGAAATATTTACATCCCTATCTTACCAATACTGATAGTAGTTTCGAATATCATGAAAATTGCAGTTGTACATGAATCGTTAAAGCACATGCCATAATATTTGATACAATATTTTGCACATCCCCTTGAATTACTATTTGTACAAATAACAGCAGCTCAATTTGAAACTGCCTTATGCTTGGCTGGGGCAAGGATCATTGCACATTGCCTAAACACATCTGATTCCAATAGATATATACATATGTAGAGAGAGGATATGTTCCTATAATGCATGTCATTCTCTTTTGAAGAGTTGACAAGATAAAATTGGTGGGCACAATGTTAGCACCAAACGGACCTGTACTGTTTTTTTATTAGAAACAATATGGCATACATAACATTTTTCTAGTAATGGCACATATCAAGAAATAATGCCAAGGTAGACAAGAAAGCCATTGTCTAAATCAAAACTAAAATACTTTTCAGAAGAGAAACCTAGTAGTACATAACATGCAACATTGCTTCATTATCAAAAATTAGAGAATGGAAATCTCTCCATAAATGTTCTAAAATTGCACTTAATCCCTAATTGCAGCCCTATATGCATCACCACACACCATAACATGTCATAGAAAAAAAAAAGATATGATTAATACGACCCTGTCACTTTATCAAAGTCACAGGTTTCTCTGTGTTACATTACATTGATAGGCACATCCCACTTCTTTTTCTTTGGCTTCCCACTTCTATTCTCCACTTCTATAGAAAATGATGTTTAAATTGGGGAACAACAGTTTGAGTATATGTACAAAGATTATATCTTGGTCCAGACATATTGAGAGATTACACATACAATGTACATTGTGCATACTGTAGAGTTTGAGGTTCATGTTTTCTTTTCAGGACTATGTTTATATCTTGTTCTCTTGGATAAAAGATATCTAGTATCTAACACACTACTGTAGTAGTATCTAGTATCTACAGATAGAGTGAGCAGTGAATAAGTCAGCACCAACTCAAGACAAAAAGCTGCAAAATACAAGATTCATATTAATTCTGATTGCACTTGTATGTATTAAATAGAGTAAAATAATGTTGATTCCCAACACCATTTGGTCTCTATACATCACACACAAAGTGTGCGCTGTCTTCCCTTACTTAAGTTAGTATAATGTTACATTCATATTCAAATTGCATAAAATGTAAAATGCCTATATTTTGACACTTGGTTGTTGGCATATACATTGTATTGTTTCTTCCTGATCACGGTTTGTATACTTAGTATATTGTACAACACATGTACTCTTTTTGACATTTGGCTGTGGTTACTACTGGCACATGCAGGATTTTTTTTCAGCATACTGTACAAGTATATCATAATTTTGTAGACTGGTTGTGGCTTTGCGACTTATTATCCACTTCCAATTCGTCTTGGAACCTGTCGAATGGGAGGTCGTGCATGGGGAGGTGGGAGTACTTGATTGGACGAGAGGTGCAGCTACAGGAGCAGTGATAACACAGGAGGATGACGTTCCCCACCAGGCTGATGAACAGGAGACTGGCACAGCTCACACACGCTATGAACCAGGGGTTTCTGTCAGGGGATGGTCAGATTTTATGGTGGTTAGAGGACCAACCAGAGAAGGAAGTGGTAGCCTGGTATCCAAACCTAGTCTATTACCACAAATACTAACTGCCATGCAAAGATATGGCTGATTAGCTACACCAGATGCTGCACACGGCCACAACACCAGACTTAGAGTGATACCATCATCTCTTGAGAATGGAAGGATGCCTAGTTTGCCTACTAGTGCTTCTATTTCATCCATTTGTGGAGAGGACGAAAGCTAACAGATTTGGATATCAGGCTAGGATTGTGATAATAAGGGTACTAGTGTATCATATCATTATAAATATAATATCACAGAGAGTCAACAAATAAGTTGGAAAACAGCTTAGTGTGATAACATAACATAAAGCATTAACATGACTGTCTTGGCAAAGGTAGTCATAGCAAACTGACCTTAGAAGATCCTCCATCTCCTGCCGTATCTTTGATACTTCTTCCTTTATGACCCCAGTTGCGATGCAGTGACTCGCTGTCCAAATGTAGACAACACAACAGTCATCAATATAGTGACATATGAGTACTAGTATTCAATGTAGATAACTGGTGCTCCCAAACAAGACAAGAATAAAATATACTGTAAAATGACTTATGTTGAGGGATTGTTCAAAAGTAATTCTAGTTATATAATATTACATTAAGGAACAATAATCTAATTTATGTGGTTATTTGATTTGTTTCTTTCTCTCACCTGAGTACAAGTCTGTAGGCAGAGTCTGGTTGAGAGTGACGTTACAGTCTCCTGTCACCCTGTCACAGCTACAGGAGTCGGCACACTCACACCTGTGGCTGCACTCCGTTCCAAATGTCCCATAGGGGCAGACTGGAGACAAAAACAACAGTCACGGATCAAGGAAAACATGCCAGTGGTGACAGGTTTCCTAACACTCTGCCACCAGAGGTTAAATACGGTCAAGGTTGTGAGTGGGGTGGACATGTCCTTGACCTTGATCCAACCATGTGTTGTGGACTGAATTAGTTATAAAGCAGAATTGGAATTAGCCCTGACTTTGAGAGGATTGATCTAGTAATGTAGCTGTTGGAACAGGAAACACAATGATGTCCCTTATCCTTGTGAAGATTAATGTTCATTCCCAGGTCAATGTCAAAGTAACATTGTCAGATGGAAAGTACCATTGATAAAGAAACCTGGAGATGGTATCCGAATGATGATAATTAGTTCATAAATAATTGCAAAACGTTGCATCAAGTAACATCGTGACATTTGAATTATTAAACTTGTTAAAGTTCTGCTATGAAGAGTATCTGTAACAAGCAAATGAACTGATCAGTTGATACACAACAGTACTAGATGTATCTACATGTACGGTCTGTTGATACTAAATGGATCAAATCATGAGCTGTGATCTCACCATGGTCACATGCCACCCCAGTCCACCCTGGCTGACATGTGCAGGCTCCAGTCTGTGGGTCACAGGTTGCCCCATGTTCACATGTGCAGGCTACAGCACAGCTGGGACCAAATACACCTGGGGGACAGGCTGGGGGAGGGCACGGGAAGGGCAAACTTCATTTTCTTGCAGGAAGGAAAACACTTTGAAACAAATTTTGGACATGTTTTGTATTTTATTTTTCTGGGCAACTATAGCTACTATGCAGGTGTCATTATTATGATAGTGTCAAGAAAACATTTAACAAAAGGATAGTTTAAAATAACTATTTCTTCTTAGATACTAAAAAAATGATACATTCAACTTACTCAGTTCACACTCCACGCCCACCCAACCAGGGTCACAGACACATCCATCCACCATGCAGCTCCCGTGGGAACTGCAGTTGTTTGGGCCACACTGAAGAACATCACAGGTGGGTCCACTCCATGAGCTGTTAGAACTAGAAATGAAGAAATCAACAAACACTGTTCAGTATAGCTTAACTATTTAAGAATGAAGAATACGTCTGAATATCACTAATCAAACTAATAAATACAAAATAACAAGTGAGCCTACCTGTTTTTTAGACAGGTTACATCATAAACTTTTCTTCTTAAAACTAAAAGTCAACTTGCCAGACCAGTTTACATTTTATAAGATCACATGACCTTTTTAAAACTTTTAAAACCTTTTTCTGCCTACGTAAGACTGAAACATACAGTTATGAGGATTTGCAATATAGAGTTGAGTTCTGTGTTGGCATACTTTTCCTGACATTGACACTGTCCCATGACACAGATGCCATGTCCAGAACAGTTGGATGGATGACAGTCTGGCTCATCACAGGCGGCACCCAACCAGCCTTCCTCACACACACAGCCACCCTCCGTACAGGTACCATGGACACCACAATCACCACAGTCCAGCTCCTCACAGCCTGCACCAGACCATCTGTCAACAAGTAGAGGAAAAGGTTTTATCCACGATTAAAAACAAACAAACAAACAACAACAAAGAAGAGTAGATCTATAGTTGTAGAGTTTAAACTTTGTTCCAACACGAGAAAGGAACTTAGCATGATAATTTTTCGGTCAATCTCCTGATGTCATCACACTTCCACCTTCCGGTGGAGAGTCAGCTAGTGGATCATACATCTGACGAAGGTTGATGAGACTGACTGAAAACTTTATGGTGCGTTCCTTTCTTGTGTTGGGACAAAGTTTAAACTCTACAACTATGGATTCTACCAACACAAATGAGCTTGCATTCGAAGAACAGACATACATAATGTATCCTACCTGCCCTGACATTGACATTCCCCATTCACACACTCCCCATGTCCACTGCAGTTTGCTGGCTCACAGTCCAGACTGTGCACACACAGAGCTGTGGAGACTGCACGGGCACAGCGCCAGGCTGGGTTGTCAGCACTGAAATACAATCAAGCATAATAGTGATTATATAATTAACTCATATTAGTTAGTAGTTATCTCTGGGATTACAGTTAAACAGTCGTCATTTAGCGCTTGGATACCTCTTGTAAGCTGCCAAAATGTAATACAGTGACTATTTTTTTTACGTAGTTATGCAAACATACGGAGGTGATGTACATCATCACCGACAGATGCCGGGCACACCCGTCTTGTATCAGCCAATGAAAGGGTACGTCACCTCGTAAGGGGTGGTACCCTGACCAATACAGTCAATATGAAGATAAAATATATCATACAAAATGTACACAAATTGTAGACTATAATTTTTCTAAAGTGTAACTATAGCCAGCCCATGCCACAGTCGTGAGTTATGTTTTGTAAGTTGTGTAATTACCAGTGGTCAGAAGGGTAGTTAGCAACAGTTCCATCCATCACCACTGTGGCAGACCCTCCTCCATCCAGGTTAATGGCATTAACCAGCCCCAGTCTCTGCAGGTAATCTGAAAACTCCCATAGACTTACTCTGTAAATGGACAAAAAAAGATGCTTAGAATGTGCATCATCTACTTAATGGCAAATATTTCTATGACTACAAAGGCTATGGCAGAAAGACAATATGAATTATAAAGATAGATGATGGGTATGTGAAACTAAATTTTACATATCTAGCAACAAGTTAAAATATTACAGCTAAAAGTTCTCCTTTTCAATTTCTGGATGGTTTTGCTGAAAACAAGACTGAACTATAATCTGTTGATGAACATCAGCTGCTTCTCCCACTCACCCTCTGTCTCCTGTCTGTCCTTCTATGTGCACCAGGACCACCCTTCCCTCCTCATCATGTCCTACTGCAGACCGAGCTGACACAACATTCACAAACCTATCCAGGCTACCTGTAGGAAAGAATTTAAATCACATCAAACACAAAATAAGTCAAAACAAATATAAGCCGCTTACTTGGATTATAAAATTCCCTACTTGTGATTTTTAACTCACTGGTGCAGGTAACATTGAAAACTTCCTGCACCAGACAAATTACACCTGCACTACTCAGAATCTAGGAGGTATCTACACAGCTCCAATTTTACCTGCACTAACCTGCATATGCATCCAGTATTTTGAGCCCTGTTACAAGACTAACTCACCAGTCTCCTGCATGTCTGCACATTCTGTGGTTTGACTCTCGTTCACGTAGACAGTCCCATTCCTGACCAACCAGATAACTCCAGTCACTAGTTGCACAAATGGGTTGTCTTCCTGTAAAACATCCAGCTCAGACAGGTACCTGAGTAAGATGTCAAATAGATGTGAGAGAAGTGAAAAAAATAACTATATCAATGCCATGGCCAGGGAGTTATTTCTACATAAACTTGATCTGCATCATAATGCTAATATAAGAAGTAGCAATACAGAACCATATTACAATCTAAAATTTACTCACCCAACTACAATTGTTCCATCCTTTCTGATCCCAAAGTTGGCATTTTGTATCCCCCCTGAGTCTTGTATACGTTTGCCATCTGTCACCACGTTCCCCAGGCAGGCTCCCGTGTGAGTGTTGAAGAAACCTGCATTAACAGCTACATGGCAGGTACGGGCCTGAGACGTGTTCAAAACCGTCCTTCTTCTCTCCTCAATACAGCCATTGGACCCACCTGGCTCCACGACTGAAAAAGTTCTCAGTGGATTGTTGATCACTGTATAATGTCCGTAACCATTCTTAACATTCCCAAGAGAGTCCACCACTTTGGTTACAAAGTATCTGGTGGTAGATGGGACAGTTATATTGGAGTTTCTGTGCGCAGAGAATGTTTCGTGGGTGGCGTTACCAAATATATCAGGCTGACAGTCTCTGACATGGCGGTGGGAGTGCCTCGGCCACTCCTCAAATGATGGAAAGGGTAGCAGCATGTCATCGTTTAATGATCTGTAAGTAAGAAAATTACATCATATCAGAGATGTCAGTAAAATATACAGCTTCATCTATACGTGTGAGCTGAAGAGAAAATGTTAATTGTTGACAGTAACAGATAAATTTGGCCCTCTTGTTTTGATGGTTGTTTGTTTTGAGTAAAAGATTGAACTACAATTGTATATTAAGTAACCGTTACTGAACTTGGAAAAGATTACACAATAAATACCAAAATCAAATTAAGATATCATAAAGATTTAACTTAAAGCTACAGTAGAAGGATGTGGTGTTTTTCGAAAGACCAAACACTTAATGTTGTGTCAACATACTAACAATGCAATATTGTCAATTAGGTAATTGTCAACACGAATGTCCGGTTAGACTCTCACATATCCGTTGCATAATAATGTTAGCTGCAACGCCCCCTCCCAAAATACCATATGTTTTCTAAAACAGCCAAGCAGATCGACACCAATCAAGAAAAGCAAGTCATGTCACGATCACTTGACGATTAGATGTTGCTTTACTTACGGTCCTGATGAGATATATGCTCGTACGGAAGACAAAACAATACAAATGTTGACGAAGACACTTCTCATGCTCGTGACCGCCGCCATCTTTCCTGCCGATGTGACCTTCGACCTTCAATATTAACTTGTGCTAACTAGACGGAAAGAATCTTGTCTAGTGGATTTAACTAATGTGTCTTGGGTAACGAGACATAAAGTCCCGACTTGTATAAATGTACAGAACCTTAGCACTGAAAATGTGCTAGAAAAGCGCACATTTTGGTGAACAGGCACCTAGTTAACGAAGGTCGGAGGTCAGAATAAAATGGCGGCACAGATGAAGTTATTTCGGTCCGGTCGGCAGCTACCCGTGATTTTGACCGCACAGAAGCTGTTACCCTGCGCTAGCTGCAGTCAGAGAAGTGCTTCGACCACTAGACAATCACACGGACAGTACTGCATGGATTTGGTCAGGTAAAACCATCATTTTATGGACTATTTTGATAGATTTTCGATGACCTCACTAGTTACAAACTTCTGCGGCGAGTATCATAAAGGGGGCGTGGCATATTAAAAACACTTAAACAGTTACATGTATCTCGTTATACATTAGATGAACTATAGATATGAGGGATCCATCTCATGTGTAGAAATATTTTGACATGCCAGGATACTTACCTGAGTTATACTTGTGTCATATTATATAGATCAGGTTTAGGTCTCCATATAGATCTAACCTTCTTTCTATGACAATAACATTTGCTAATGTTTCTTCTCCTGCAGAAAGCATGACTATGAGAACTACCTCTGCGTGCTGCTTCTCCCCAGCGCTGCCCACCAGGCTGCATTTGCAGTTAGAGCCTTCAATGTGGAACTGGCTTTGGTAAAAAAATGACTATATCAAAACTATAGATAACATTCAATATTTAATATCCCTTATAATTCTATCTGGCTGGAGTTTAGAAGAATGCTTGTGTATTTTTCGAGTATTTTTTTTAGTATCTTAGACTGTATATCTGTTGCAGTACAAGGAAAATACTTTTAAATATAACATTTAATTGAATTAAGAACCTCTGAGATATCCTCAGACTCAGAGGTACATCATTGACAATATATTAGAAACATGTAAGGTACCTGTTTATAATATTGTCAGGTAGACACTGGTTAAAATGGCAGCTGAGCATGGTCATTTGTGTGTTTTCTTGTGGTCTAATTTGTTTCCTTCGTAACAGGTCAGAGACTCAGTGACAGACAAGAACATAGGGAAGATGAGGATGCAGTTCTGGAAGGATGCACTAGCTGACATTTATCAGGTACCTGCCTCATTTTGAAAACCCTTCTGCTCCTAACAATGGGAATCCTTTCATGGGATCAAAATAGTAGATGTGTACTATATGTATATGACAATAACACAGGAATCTTTTGAAATTTAAGAGTTTTATGGTTCAGCACGTGGCTCAATCCCACTTTTACACACCATGTTAGGTTTAGGAATGATTTGTTGCTGTTGTGATTTTCTTTCTATATCCATTCAATGAAATACACAATTATATTTGATTACAGTGAAAGTCAAGAAACATCTATGAACTTTGTAGAATGTTGAATTTTTTATTATTTAAACTTGCAGGAAAGACCTCCACAGCAGCCAGTTGCCCAAGAACTAGCCAAGGTAGGTCTTTATGAGTGGTTTTTCCATCACTGCCTTTTTATCAATTAATGTCAGTGTCCTGCCTTACAAAATGAACCTAAAACTCACTTTGAATTCTTCTTTTAATTCTCAAGTTAAAATGATATCTGTTGTTCCTCAGCCATTTATTAATCCCTTTGTATTTTTCGCTCCAGGCAGTTGACAGCTGTGGGCTTACTAAAAGGTGGTTCAGCAGGATTTTGGATAACAGGGTCAGTATTTAAGAAAGGGTTGTTCCATTTCAAAGGGCCAGGGGGCAGTTGTTACAGCGACAACTCAAGTTATATCAAGGGAAAATGATGATCCTGAATTATATATTAGTGTATTTCTTATATATCCAGTTACAGTATCAACTAATTCAGGTACATGTACATGTACAACTAAGTGTAACAAAATACAAAGATATTCTCTTCAATCTCCCCTTGATTTCAGTATGTTTTTATGACATTTTTTCATCATGTTGGTCAATGTACTTCATGTACTTCCTTCACAGATAGAAAACCTGGATGATCAACCACACAGAAACCTCTCAGCACTGGAGGACTACTCAGAGCAAACTGTGTCCTCTGTGTTGTACCTCACTTTAGAAATTCTAGGTAAACCTAGTTTTGCTTACTTCCTTATTCTAGAAGAAGAGGCTAGGGGCTGCTTGTATGGTTGCATACTAGTAGGGTGCAACAACATGCCATTGTGTATAAAAGGGGTTAAATGCAACCAAGACTTACAGAGAAAAATATAGTTATATGAAACTTTTCATGTCATGACCATTTATATATAAATGTATATACATGTATGGCATTTTCAAAAATTTCAGTGTTCAGTTTCTGCACTTAGATGTACTTTTCCTACAATGGTCTTCAACAGGTATCAAAGATGTACATGCAGACCATGCCGCTAGTCATATTGGTAAAGCCATTGGCACCTGTACAGCATTGAGAGCTGCACCCTACCTGGCCAATAGGAGAAGAGTCTTTCTACCAATGGATGTTATGATACAGGTTAGTCACACTTCTAAACATCCCTGTCTTATAGTCAATATAACATAAATACAAATTAATAGCTTCGTTCAGATTATTTGCAAATTTGTAGTTTGAACAGAAATTCTGTTGACAGAATATGAGTTTACGTTAGTGTTTCATATTTCCTACAGTGTGGAGTTTCCCAAGAGGACATAGTGAGGGGAGACAGGACCAGAAAGTCAAGGATGTGATGTATGAGATTGCCAGTCTCTCTCACTCACACCTGGAGAAAGTAAGGNATAACATTTGCTAATGTTTCTTCTCTTGCAGAAAGCATGACTATGAGAACTACCTCTGCGTGCTGCTTCTCCCCAGCGCTGCCCACCAGGCTGCATTTGCAGTTAGAGCCTTCAATGTGGAACTGGCATTGGTAAAAAAATGACTATATCAAAACTATAGATAACATTCAATATTTAAAATCCCTTATAAATCTGCCTGATTTGTCCTTCTGCGAAAAGCCTTGCAGAAGCTAATTAACACATGTGAGGCCTTTGGAGTCGAGAATGATGTTATTTTTTGTAATAAGAAAACCAACTGCATGTATTTCCCATGCCCACGATTACTCCTATGTAGCGAACCTCCCTCTGTTACACTGTATGGCACCTCTCTGGATTACGTTCCTTCTGTTACATACTTAGGCGTACAGATAACCTACAACTTGTCCGATGATACATCCATCCGTAATGCAACAAGACAACTCTACACCAAAGCTAACTCTTTATGCCGTAGATTCAGTAACTGTGCAACAGAGGTTAAACGCATACTTTTTATGTCCCACTGTTCGTCCATTTATTGTTCGCAGCTGTGGATCAGGCACAGTGTTGGTGTGCTTCAGCGTTTTAAGACTGCATACCACGACGCTCTTAAAATGCTGATGAACCAGCCTAGGTGGTGTAGTAACAGTCAGTTATGTACACACTTACGTATCAATACCTTTGACGCCAGGTGGCGCAAACTCTGCTATTCATTTGTCAAGCGCCTTCTCACATCGAGAAATAGTATTGTATGTGCGCTTTGTCATTCGGAAGTGTTTACCCGGAGCCTCTTCTGGTCGCACTTTTTAAACAACTGTATGTGATTTGTGTATTTGTACTTGTTGTTGTATTGTCCCTGTTTTTATATGGGCCTCTGGCCTGAGGCAAAGAATAAATAAAATAAATAAAAATAAAATCTATCTGGCTGGAGTTTAGAAAAATGCTTGTGTATTTTCCGAGTATTTTTTTAATATTTTAGACTGTATATCTGTTGTAGTACAAGGAAAATACTTATAAAATATAACATTTAATTGAATTAAGCCTCTGAGACATCATCAATTCCTCAGAGGTACATCATTGACAGTATTAGAAACATGTAAGGTACATGTTTACGATATTGTCAGGTAGACACTGGTTAAAATGGCAGTTGAGCATGGTCATTTGTGTGTTTTCTTTTTCTTTGTGGTCTAATTTGTTTCCTTCGTAACAGGTCAGAGACTCAGTGACAGACAAGAACATAGGGAAGATGAGGATGCAGTTCTGGAAGGATACACTAGCTGACATTTATCAGGTACCTGCCTCATTTTGAAAACCCTTCTTCACCTAACAATGGGAATCCTTTCATGGAATCAAAAATAGTAGATGTATAATATAAGACAATAACTCTAGCATCTTTTGATGTTTAAGAGTTATATGGTTCAGCATGTGGCTAAATTCAACTTTGACAGACTGAAAGCATGATTTAGGTTTAGGAAATGATTTGTTGCTGTTGTGATTTTCTATATCCATTCAATGGAATGCACAATTATATTTGATTACAGTGGAAGTCAAGGATTCAGAAACATCTATGAGCTCCTTTGTAGGATGTTGAATTTTTTTATCATTTGAACCTGCAGGAAAGACCTCCACAGCAGCCAGTTGCCCAAGAACTAGCCAAGGTAGGTACGTCTTTATGAGTGGATTTTCCATCACTGCCTTTTTATGTCAGTATCCTGCCTTACAAAATGAAGCTAAAACTCACTTTGAATTCTTCTTTTAATTCTCAAGTTAAAATGATGTCTGTTGTTCCTCAGCCATTTATTAATTCCTTTGTATTTTTTGCTCCAGGCAGTTGACAGCTGTGGGCTTACTAAAAGGTGGTTCAGCAGGATTTTGGATAACAGGGTCAGTATTTAAGAAAGGGTTGTTCCATTTCAAAAGGCCAGGGGGCAGTTGTTACAGCGACAGCTCAGGTTATATTAAGGGAACATGATGATCCTGAATTATTTATTAGTGTATTTCTTATATATCCAGTTACAGTATCAACTAATTCAGGTACATGTACATGTATACAACTAAGTGTGACAAAATACAGAGATATTCTCTTCAATCTCCCCTTGATTTCAGTATGTTTTTATGACATTTTTTCATCATGTTGGTCAATGTACTACATGTACTTCCTTCACAGATAGAAAACCTGGATGATCAACCACACAGAAACCTCACAGCACTGGAGGACTACTCAGAGCAAACTGTGTCCTCTGTGTTGTACCTCACCTTAGAAATTCTAGGTAAACCTATATAGTTTTGCTTACTTCCTTATGCTAGAAGAAGAGGTAATAGGGGCTGCTTGTATGGTTGCATAGGGTGCAACAACATGTCATTGTGGGTAAAAGGGAAAAAAACACAACCAAGATCTACAGTGAAAAAAATATTAACTAGTAATATAAAAATTTTATATTAAATTGCTAGACATGATAAACATTAAGAAGTCTTAAGTAAGCAGAATATCAATTATGTTATGATATTCAATCTTAAGACATCATTTTTGTCACGTCATAACCATTTGGTGTACATATGTATATACATGTTTTGCATTTTCAGTGTTCAGTTTCTGCACTTTTATGTATTTTTCTTACAATGGTCTTCAACAGGTATCAAAGATGTACATGCAGACCATGCCGCTAGTCATATTGGTAAAGCCATTGGCATCTGTACAGCATTGAGAGCTGCACCCTACCTAGCCAATAGGAGGAGAGTCTTTCTACCAATGGATGTTATGATACAGGTTGGTCACACTTTTAAACATCCCTGTCTTATAGTCAATATAACATAAATACAAATTAATAGCTTCGTTCAGATTATTTGCAAATTTGTAGTTTGAACAGAAATTCTGTTGACAGAATATGAGTTTACGTTAGTGTTTCATATTTCCTACAGTGTGGAGTTTCCCAAGAGGACATAGTGAGGGGGAGACAGGACCAGAAAGTCAAGGATGTGATGTATGAGATTGCCAGTCTCTCTCACTCACACCTAGAGAAAGTAAGGCACTCTTGTATGTAGTATTATATCCAATTTGTTTTACATAAACAACAGCACTGTTCTGATAAATTAATTTTACATTAAGGCAAAAAGAAAGTTGTGTCATCAGAGGCCTTCCTGAGCACTTCTGATTTCAGGCTTTATGTTTCTATCTTTTTCAGGCGAGGTCGTTGAAGAAAGATGTCCCCAAAAAATCCATGTCAGCCTTCCTTCCAGCAGTAAGTTCAATATACTGGTGTTTCAAGATGTGTTGTGAAATTGTACAAGTGCTTCGAAGCTAAACTATACTTTAATTGGTAAGCTATAGCATTAGGCATATATCATTATATAATTATTTGTCTTGGAATGTATTTTCACATGCTAAATTATTTATATCTGTTAATAAGAAAACTAGTAGTTTTGCAAACTAATTCTGAGGTAGTCTACACTTTGACTAACAGTGGTCATTCTTGTCATTGCAGCTTTCTTGTGACTTCTACTTGAAGAGGATACAAAAAGTAGACTTCAACATCTTTGATTCATCATTACAGCAAAGAGATACCCTACTACCTTTTCATCTACTGCTGCAAAAACTGAAAAGGACGTTCTGATTTTTGAAATGTTAAAATCTAAGAAGCTAACAGTAACAGCAGACACAGGAATTTGAACTTACAGATCTGCACATCTTACTGACTTTATATAAAACTTTATTGTCTACCAATACGCAAGAATATAGGATTGAAACATTGTCAAATGATTCTGAAAAATCCAATTAACTTTGTGGCTCTTCCTGTAGCTGGTGAATTATTCCATCCAGCCTGATTCCATCCGTATGCCATCATCTAGCAGAAGAGAAGTCTGCATCCACTAAAGAAAACTCATAAGTTGTTCCAAGGAGGTTAACATACTTGGTTGTTGCTTTTTCTCGTAGCACCAGTGTGTATTCTTGTGAGTTACTGCAGAATCCAACTCAGAATTGTACACAAAACTGTGACTTTCAAGCAAGTGTAAGTCTTCACAATTCTGCAGTCTGATGTCATCTGATCTTCTGGATCATGAGCACACAGGATGGTGGAGACTTCCCGCATGCAGTGCCATGTCTGATTATGGTCATTAGCACTGAAATGAAAGCAAGCAAAATTATTAATAGTATTTGCATCATTAAATTCTTGTAGATTTTATGCTTTACCTTGTGGAGTTGTTGTGCAGTCTTTCACAAGTCGTGCAGCCTTTAAGTTTAAATCCTTGACACCAGTATCTGACAAGCTGCCAGTGTCAGAGAAACAACATATTGTCATATAAGTTACCAGTGATCTGCAGGGTAGTTAGCAACAGTTCCATCCAACACTAGTGTGGCAGAACCTCCTCCGTCCAGGTTGACAGCATTGACCACTCCCAGAGTCAGCAGAAATTCTGCAAACTCCCACAAACTCAGCCTGTTGAAACACAAATGGAAGCATTGGTAGTGAGTATAATTTAGACCTAGTGCGAGTCCCTCACTGTAAAATCAGTTCGTTGTTTAATCTATAAAACAACTTTGCCCATAAGAAAGAAAATATTCACAACAGAAAAAAAACTTAAAACAAAAGCCCTGTGACGGTATGAAATTGAACTGCACAAACTGTTGACCTTGGGATTGCTCCACCAACATTTTATAAATCAACACTTCATTTCTTCCGTTACGTACTGCTCTAGTAGAGCTCTACTCACCCTCTTTCTTCAGTGTTTCCATCTATCTGCACCAGGACAACCCTCCCATGGACGTCATGTCCTACTGCAGTCCGAGCTGACAGGACATCCACAAACTCGTCCATGGTACCTTAGAGAAAAAGTTCAATAAACAAGAAATGACATGAACATTATCTTAATGATTACTACTTTCACGAATCTAAACGTCTTGTGATACGAACTAGACCCAACGTCTTGTGGATCATTTACAATAGTAGGTCATGCTAGTGGCTACCATATGTACAACACCAGGTCTTGTACGATACAACTCACCATACTCCTGTAAACTTCCACAATCCTTAGTTTTGCTCTCCTTCACGTAGACAGTCCCATTCCTGACCAACCAGATAACTCCAGTCACCAGTTGCACAAAGGGGTTGTCTTCCTGTAATACGTCCATCTCAGACAGGTACCTAAAATGTCGGCAGAATGACGAAGTACAATTTCAGCCTTTCCTGTATAGAGTGAGTCAAAGGGCATGTCCAGGCAGTGGGTAAATTCAAATACACTAAGGTAGAAATGTCCAGTTGTCGACATTTTGGTATCTAGTATATTTAGGTCTAAATTCAAATCTAGACTCATCTGAGAATATAAAGCATACAGTTTGTGGCTTATACTTGATGTTGTTACAAAGTTAACTCACCCAACTACAATCGTCCCATCCTTTCTGATACCAAAATTGGCATTTTGAACGCCACCGGTATCTTGTATACGTTTCCCGTCTGTTACAACGTTCCCCATACAAGCTCCCAAATCGGGACCCGGATTGTGACCGAAGAACCCCGCGTTAATCGCTGCATGACAGCCGCGTAGCCGGGAGGTCTTCACGGCAGGACTGAGTCTTCGTTCAACACAGCCGTTCGGCCCACCTGGCTCCACGACCGAAAAAGTACTCAGCGGATTGTTGATCACGACACTATGCCCCCAAACGTCCTTAGCGTTTCCCCGAGAATCCAGCAGTTTGTCCACGAAGTACTTGGTGTCGGATCCGGCGGTCACCGACGAGTTTTTATGTGCGGGGAAAGTTTCGGTGTCAGCAAACTTGACGAATTGACAGCCTTTCACAAGGCGACGCCACTCCTCGGATTTCGAATAGGGTAGCAGAGTGTCATTATCTGATGATCTGAAATGTGAAGTATCAAGATATCGATAATTAAGTACGTATGTAGGAAATGTGTAAAAAAAACAGTGTCAGCAAAGGGTCGGCCTGAAGACGTTAGTAACGTTAGTCTTCTACAGCAGTAGCATTTTGTACACTTGAAATCAAATCAGCACCCCGGAGAGGGACGATTTGTGTAGACGGGATTTTAACATCCCTCACGTAACTTGCATCCAATGCAAGTTCAGGGCGGCAGTACAGAAATATCATGGATGAGGAAACCTGTCTGATGTTCTCATTTTACTGCCCTTTCTAGCTTAGCACATTTTCGTCACCATTTCGTGCGTTTGTTGAAACGCTACCTCCAAATAGGCTACGTAAGGAGTGTTTCATCACCAATACCATGATAGCTAGAACCAGTCTACGATACAAAACATGCAACCGTTCTCCGTCAATAACATCGCATTTGTGTTCCCTCACAAATATCAGGATGCAATGGGATAGGGTTGATTCAACTTACTACATGTAAAAATGACCGGAAATTGACTTTGAAAAACGTTACTATTTTTACTGCCACAAAATCTCTTCAGGTGCGTTTGATGTGACTTATAGATAATTATTCAACTCGGGCCAAAAGATTTTAAATGGGATTCTTTCAACTCTGACACACTTTCGCCAGTCGACCTCCACCGGTACCTACCTCACTGTTTTCCCCTTAAGTTTAACAGGAGCGTCTTTAGATAGTAAGAATCTGCTGGAGACTGGTCTGACGTCTGGATTTAACATGGCGTTGAAGTAGCGATTGTTGTCTGTTGTTATGACGAAGACAGTTGTAATAGTGAAGACCGAAACTATCAGGACATACAACTGATATCTCGCCATGACACACTACTAACGGAAGGATAGAGAAAACAAAATAAAGTTCAGGTAGTACATAACTGCGTGCGCCGATTTAGGGCACTGGAGCAAAATATTAACATTGACCTTCTGTGGCTCGTGAACGCCTGATGAGGCACTAAGCTGATGATCTAAATACTTTAGTGGACAAACAAGTCATGGAATAGACATAACTATGGAGCATTATTGATTTCGCAGTTTCTCTTTTGCATTTCCATTAGTTTTTAGTGGCTATATGGGATCGGTCTGTTGTCCACACATAACACTTGATCCTTTGTACTGATATGAGGGAACGCCCTCTCACATATTTGCATAATTTTGTGAAGAAAAATAAAGACTAAACACTTCAATGATGAAAGTGGCTTTTCCATATGCTTCATCGCCATCAAACATGGCTTTCCAAACGTCATTGACTGCAGTTAGGCATAGTTAACACCAGCGTTCCACGTTTGTACTACTGGTATATTACAAGGTGTGTCATCGGAAGTCGGACTTCTGGTCCGTACATGTTAAAAACCAGTTAGACGGGCCAAGAAAAGCCTCGTATCGTGCGTACTCATGTGTGGTAAGACCAATAAACACAACAGAAACCTTAAATAGGGGCGCATCAGAAGTAAAGCACGGCAGAGGGACTAAAATTAAAAGCTCACCTTTATAATAATAAACGAACGCAGCGTCAAATCCTCAGAGGAAACGATTCGCTTCTCGGCGTCTACTGTATTGGCTGTGGGCCGACTGTGGGGTCAGGATGTGCAATCTCTCTATCCTGAGGCTAATCATAATTGACCCCCTTTTGTAGCAGGCCGCCAGGACCGCGATTTAGGCTTGCAAAGCATCTGTAATTGTGGGTTGGAATGAAGTTTAAACAAGTCAAACGGCCGTGCCTTCACCTGTGGAACTACGTTGACCACAGCTGTTGCATAGGCCCAACAATATTTTCGTCTCCTTTTAACCGTTAAAACAAACGAATAATTATCCTGAAAATGACATCAATTAAATGTGCCCTTGCCCTATTTGCCCAACGTCCCTTAAACTGTGTAGTCTAAATTTTTTTCCACTTTCAAATTTACATAAAAAGGCCACATTTTTTTTTACCACTGGAAGAGTTAGCCTGGATGCCAGACCCAAAGCACACTGGACACAAAATATCTCAGTGTGCAAGGAGCCTGGATGCCAGACCGAAAGCACAAGGGACCCTTGCACACTGAGATATTTTGTGTCCAGTGTGCTTTGGGTCTGGCATCCAGGCTTGCCTGTAAAGTAAGACTACTAGATTATCACTGGAACATTTGTGTTCCGGGCTTTCATTACTGTAAGCGTGGATAAGCACTCTTCAGGCTACATGTTAAAATTTGGCGCCATTGACGACACTTCATATGTCAAAGGTCACCATTTCCTGATGACAAAAATGGCGGTGTTTGAACGTGCCAAGAAAGCAGTCCGCGGGTTTTGAGCAGAATATGGCGACAGGGACACCGGAGCCGAAAAAGAGACTAAAATGCGACATCAGCCTGGATATGGAGGTACAGTTTGTGTGTATTATTTTGTGTCACTTCCTTTTGTAACGATCTTGTCAACAAAAGGGTACATCACAAGTATTCATCAGACAAAAATCACTAAAAGTTAGTAAAACAGTTATGTTTGTAGAATTATGGGCCGCACGGATATACACAGAGAGTGCTTTTTTGTTCACCATGGCATGGTTTGGCACATTTTGGTTGCGTTTTTGAGGAACCGAAAAAGGAAATTTAAACTATTTCATTTAAAAAGGGAAGATGTTGAGACGTGATGCTAAATGAATGATCAATGATATAACAAGACTACAGGGACTGTGCTATTTTTAAACTATCATTCGTGCTTTTAAATTTCAGTTTTCTCATGTAAATTCGATTAGAATGGATAATGTTGCACTTTGTAGCAAAATTGGGGGCGTGGCACCACCTGTCACCATGTCTGGCTTGGACATAATCGATAAGTTCTAACAAAAAACGGGAACTCACAATTTGCCGTAGGAGTTTTCCATTGTAAGACATATACACATGTCAACATTTTCCAGGGAGGGGGGCAGGCGAGTTCATGAAATGTTCACACACAAAAAAACCAACACATTTTGACCCCTCTGGTTTCTAATTATCTCTAAGGACTTCATGTATGTAGGCCAGACTTCATGTTATCAGATTGTCATGTCTCTGTAATGGCAGACTGCTCCAGACATAATTTCATTTATTGGCCTACGTCCAGGTGCCTGCAGTATAGTCTGTAACATTACCATCAATAGTTAATGAGCTGCATGGCACATTTAGAAGTCATTGGAATACAAATTGGTATTATAGAATTACATGGTGTTATGTCTTCTCCTGGTAAAATGTGTATGACTAGAAGTGACAAATTTGTGCAATTGAGAGAGAGCTATTGATGGTACCAGGTCCGTTGTCCTACAGATATATTACTCTATGACTATGCATAAGAATCATACAAAGAAAAAGTCTTTGTGTCTATTATACACAGATTCTTTCAATGCCATTCTGCAATGCCCTTCCAGCATATCCAGAATGCTACAAGTATCAAAGCGTGTATATTTTATCATGACGTCAGCTGTAATCTTTGTAGTGTGGCACGGAATATGATAGATTTGACCATGTAGCATACCGTATGACAAATTACACTGCATTACATTCATGACGTATTTTGATTTTTTTTTTTTTATAGTCTGAATAATTTGGTAATGGCAAAAAGAAAGAAATCTGTTAATGATGGAAATAAACGAATGGAAAGTGCAGTCTCTTCTTTAACTCAGTTTTGGGTCAACTAGATATCAAATGGGTGCCTTGTTAACTGGATATCAAATAATGGTGGTAATGCAGTAACAGTTATATATTGCTGACCTCCTCTGGTACTGACCTGACACAGGAAGTGAAAGAGGAAACAGCCAATATTGACCCATCATCTGGCCATGACATCACTTCCTCCTTATCCCACCATCTCAGGGAACTGTTGGAGGAGACAGAAGTGCTTGTATGGTCACGAACATTTATTCAGAACCTTTGGCCAATCACATGTTGTTGTTATGAAACCAATCTTCTAAAAACCTCAGTATTAGTAATGGTATGCAAGGAACCAGCATCAAAATTTGTGTCTTAAAAAATTAATTGATTAATTCTAATTTGAAATGTGGTATTTGGTCATCATTCTCATCACATATGGTATTGATTGCCTGATTAATTGATTAATTTACAAGTATGATGCCAAACTGTCGGCACCTTGATTAGAATGCTACCAAATATGATATGTAATACATGATGCGAATCAAAAGGACTAGGAAACATAACAACTTTCTGTTGTGTAATCATGACCTGTGTACTGCATCTTTGCTGTCCAGCTCATTACACAAAACCTGCAGTAATGTATTTTCAATTGAGCATTGAAACACTGGTGATTATTCATTTAGCTTACAGTGCCATGTGCAATTACACACTTCTCTGCCAACTGAAACCATTGTAGATCTGTCTCATTGATAGTCAGTGAACGATTAATTGAAAATCACTGTTGCTTTTACCTCACTTAGATGTGTGTTTGCTGGAAAATTACTTCATAAATTTTATTCTAGGCAAAGTACTTCTCATTTTTCCCTATTTTCCTTAGTATATTTCAATGAAGGATATACATGTAGATGGTAACTATTGTCATGATTGCTTATTAGCTGTATAATTTGAGGTTTGAACAGACAATTATAACTTTTCCTGTGTTGTGAATTTTTTTCTCTCAGGAGGTTGATGAGGACACAGAGCTGACGTCTGATACAGACGACAATGACCTGTCCATCAGTGGGACCCTGAGTTTTGATGGGGACATCACTGATAGTGGCGATGAAGACATCGGCACAGAAGGTACCAGTTAACTTCAGTTCACATTCTAAATGCATGGACAGTACCTATATCTCTAGGCTGAAAAAGTCATTTTGTTGCCAGGTTGAGAAAACATCATGAGTTTTCCAGTCATCCGAGGACTAGTGATAACATATATTGAACCCTGTCTGAATTGAGTTGAATTGACAGATGTGTAGAAAAAATAATTGACTATTGAACTTACATCTAGAGCCTTTTTTTTCGGATGAAGGAATACCTGAAGAAAACCCTCATGCCAAAATACTCACTGCAATGCTTTTAGTTATCAGTCACCAAAATCTCATCAACACCAGCATATTTCAATGTTATGAAGATATTTGGGCCCTGAAAATGCCAGGACTTCATTTTAAGATGTATCTGTAAGTATCCATGTTCTGAACAGATTCATTTCATTACTTTAAGCAACCATGTAGGCATAAAGCCTGTGATGACTTGCACGGCTGGTCAGGCTAGCCAGAGTAGGAAGGTCACCTAGGGCAGCTTTCCTTTCTATATGGGGGGAAATGAATAGTCTTAGCAGCAAGGCTTTCCTCTTCCCAATTCTAATTAAATTCTTAACTTCTCGGTAACTGCCAGTTTGTAACTGGTGGAGACTAGGCTACTTAAGTGTGCTAAAGGTTAAATGGTTGTTTAAGCTCCTAATGAGAGAAATTGAAGAGGACGGGACAGCTTTGAAATTTCCTTCAGTCTTATTACCTATTGTACATGTCATGAGTAGAAACTTCTCACGGGCCTTTGAGTTTACTTGTGGGCTTTCATCCCCAAGACAAGGAACAAAATGAGCTACGTTCTAAAGCTGCATGCCATACACTCCTGTACTAAGTGGTTGCTAGGTTCAGTAAGGTGAATAGACGACCAAATATGGTAGTAAATCTGATGCCTCTTTCATCTCCTCTGCATTATCATCTCTGAAGTGTGGTGAAAACGCTCTGTTGAAGGTTAATGTATTGTACTCAGGTTGTCGTACATGTGACATCCAGGGTAATTCTTTGAGTACAGAGGGATTCTGTAGCACCATAAGCTAGTACCATATGCTAAAGGCTTTTGCTTGAAATTTTCCGTTGTTAGTCTTAGTAAATAGTGCATTAACAGAAATGAGGTGTTAAAAAGACGCCAGCTGATATTCAGTTGGAGCATCGGCAGTATAAAAGCTCATCAAAGGTCAGTGCTTGTGGGGTGCTTGAATTAATATTGTTCTAGATCAGCCAGCTGACACTCTGATGCATCTTTGTGAAGCTAGTGTGTTTTGCGGTTATACCAGACACGTTGTTTGATTGATTAGGGTCAGAATTCTGTATATGTGAACACATTGATAACATGGGTTTAATGTTGTTTTCTTGGTTGGTCTACTGAAATGAACAATGTATGTCCTGAACATGCACAATATTAGCATAGTAGCAGACTCATGTGGTGTTCTATGATTATGAATAATTGTAAATGCTTATTACTTGGCCTTGTTAGGATAATTGACACTAAAAGTTATATTTTTTTGTATGTACATGTATGCGCAAAATTGACAGAAATGATTACATAACAACAAACTAAAAAAAGATATTTCCACAAGTAATTGCCTTAAAAAAGTCATTTTGAATATGATACTGTCATGCACTCCCCAATCAGCAGTCTGACAGGTGTTCATTCCGCAGCTGAAGAGCCTCACCTGGAGCACCCTGCAGGGAGGAACACCAGGGTCGGCAGCGGTGGAGGGAGACACAGTCAGGACAGGATAGTGTTTGAAGTCATGAATGCCAGGACTGTGAAGGAGGGACATTCCAAATATGTGGTAGGTAGCCAATCATACAGATCTGTTGTACATTCAATTTGCCCAGCTATATCATATAATACATGTAGCATGTACCTAAGTGCAAGCATTATTGGTACACCTGCCAAATGCTGATTGTGTGATATCTTTCTCAATGAACATTTTTCTTAGAGGAAAATATTTTTAAATGAGAAAAGTCTTACAGTGTTATTTTTTCTGAAGGTTTACCAAGTGCATGTGGTTAAGAGCCCAGGTTTGGACACATCTCCAGCCTTCATCGAGAAACGTTACAGCCAATTCGACAAACTGAACCAGTGTCTTCGCAAGAGATTCCCACACCTGCTGGAAAGCGTTGCCTTCCCGAAGAAAACTCTGACAGGAAACTTCAAGTCCCAGACAATTGCGGAGAGGAGTCGGGCCTTTGAACAATACCTGCAGCACTTGCACTCTATCCCGCAAATAGCCAGCTGTCACGAGTTTTTAGACTTCTTCTACCTTGAGGATATAAGGAAGGGGTACGCGATGATCCGTGCCGGTCTCTACAAGGAGGCGATTCCCTCGCTCAGGAATGCGCTCCACCTACAGGAGAAACTGCTGGGTGAGACCCATGACGTGGTGTTGCAGACGCACTGTGCCATCGTGGTGGCGTACGAGGCATTAGACGAGCTGTGGCACGCCCAGACGTACTCAGAAACAGCCCTGAACTGTGTGAAAGGCTATCTACATCACAGTTTCCTGGTCCCACTGCTGCAAACACACATCAGCTTGTGTTGGAGGTTGGGCAAAGACAAGAAAGACTGGGAAGCTATCTTACATGAAGTTGCAGCCAAAGGCATCGATGTCAACAGTGGCCCGACACTAAAAGACGTTGTCATGAACAAGCATTGACAGGTACTGGCCTCATCAAAGTCAGGAAAATATTTAATGTATCAAAGCAGAAAGTACCAAATAACAAATTCCTATGTTCTCAAATTTCCTCCTAAAAAGTGATGGGAACAAGGGTACCTTTGTACCAGGACAACCTCATAAATGGAAAACTACTCATGGAATGCTCATGGCAGTTAATTGCAGTCATAAATGTAAGTTAAGAAGAAAAAACATAACTTGTATCTATATGTTTAAAGCTACAGTGGCAGTCAACTAACTGTTAACTAATTAGAATGTCATGCTGGAGACAAAATACTGTTGAAGTCTAAACTAATCTGTCAAGCTACGGTGTAGGATGCTTCTAGGTACATAAGATGATGTGAGAGAAAGCTTATGTTCAGATTTAAAGGCTAATCATGCTAAACTTTTGAGTGTAAACTTTAATGGCGAACTTCAATGTTCCAAATATTATGTAAATACTGTTTAGTTTAAAAGAGGAGTGCCTTGCATTCAGTCACTGAATACAAGATAAGAATTTAACATATAACTTTTAGTGACCATTTTAAGACATGGTCTTAAGGAATTAGTAATGTCTAAGAAGAAATTTACGCATTTTAACATTTAGTGTTTGCCTTATAATGGCTTGATCAACAAAGTGCATCTACGATAACAAGCTTCTTTGTGCACGTGTGAGGTCCTTTGACAAACAGTAGGACTGATCAGCTGCAGATTGTGATGACAAGGTCTAATTTGCTGGAGATTTATTTTTGTGGAAAGCTTTAGTTAGGTTGATATTTGAAAAGGTCAGTCAGTGCTAAATGTATCAAAGTGTTCTTCAGAATTCTTGAAAGAATTTTCAACAATCATGACTGTGTTACTTGCAGTAGAGCCATTTCATTTTCAACACTGGTAGGTATTAGGAACATATAAGTTAATGGTGATGCCTGTATGAAATGTTGTTTGCTGTTGATGGACCAGTTGATGGGTTTACAAAGGCAATGCTAGGCTGTGTTGCAGTCAAGTTCAAAGTAGATGTAAATGAAATGGATGATGCTTATTTTTTGGTACTTTACGCTGGTAGGGCTTTTGCTTTGATGTTTTATCACTATTTTCTCAGCTTGTATTTCTATGGTAGATAACTTCATGTAAAGTCTTTTCTATTTCAAGCCTGCTATTTCTAAATTTTTACTTCTCACACAGTTTTTATAGATCAGAGAGCTTTAAAACTTGAATACTTGTTGCAGTGTACTGTTGTGCCTAGATAGTGTATTTATAATGTGTGATTCAGTGGACCACTGGTCAGGCTCCACTGGTATCTCAGCCTATGAAAAGCAGTACTAATATTCCAGGCCAATTTTCTCCAGGTTTTCTTTGCTAAGATGTTGTGCTAGCTATATTAGTTTTGCACACTATGTGTGCAGTGGACATGCTGTATTTTATTTAGTTTTCTAAGCGTGCCAATTATTTATTGTTATAAGACGTAGGCAATGTAATGTAATGCACTGGGAAGTGCCAATAACAAAACTTGTATCCATGTGATGGAAATCGCTTCATTATGTAGTGGTCTGAAGGACTAAGATATGATATTCGAGTCTGCTGTACTAACCTACTGATATGTAGCAGAATAGAATTATTGTAAAACAAAGGCGTTGTCTGTTTTACATGTTGGGAGTTGTTGCCTTGGAACAAAACAGCCATGTAACAAGAACTTCTTAATGTTGGAAAATGGCTATTTAAATTGCCTGGTATACTGCTCAGTTGTAGCTGTTGCAAAGATTAAGCAACCTCTTCCCATCTACCCGTAAGTAATCTCCAAGCAGATGTTTCGGTGGCTGCAAAACAGTATCAAATTGGCCAGACAGTATCAAATTGGCCAGCCAGTATCCAACACGCCTTGGATACTGGCTGGCCAATTTGATACTGTAGTGTCTGGCCAATTTGATACTGTTTTGCAGCCACCGAAACATCTGCTTGGAGATTACCCGTAAGAACTTGCCAGCAATAACAAGTTGTTCCTTGTGCCACCAAAAGAGACATATAAATACCATGCTTCTGACTGCACATGGAGGTTCTTCAGTGTCTCTTACATTTATTGGCAATTGGCACATTTTTGTTAACTTTGTTGCAGTAAGTTCCTTTACAATTTATTGTAATGTTAGAGTTTGTGCCTGGGAAATTCCGCTGCTGGCCTGCCACTACACATACATTTTACACAAGATACGGAAGAATCTGCTCTTCCTGGCATTAGCTGCACGGATAAGCACGTCCTCACTGTTACTGGAGTTCAGCTCCTGCTGACCAAGAACCTGCAGCTGAAGGCAACAACAGAGAAATACTATTCAAACAGGTCATGCTGCTTGTTTGTACTTAAAATACTTAAGGGCGAGTTAGAGTACCAGGTACTGTATTATCCTCTACCAGGCTTCAGGAAGCAGCTGCAAAGTCTAGAAATCTGCCAAATAGACAGCTAATGTGCTAGGACAGTTGGTCCGTGCTAAGAGAAAAGTTTGTCACTTGGAATAGTGCTGTGTAACATCTTTAAAATGTCCTCATGCAAGTCATCTTAAGGTTCAGGATAAAAACGTGGAATGAATATGATCACAGATAAGTGCTACCGGTATTGAGGGATTACAGCGAAGTGAAAATACCAGTATTAGAAGCAAACTTAAGTGTAGCTGAAATCTGAGGAAACATTCCTTACCACTGCTTGTCTTTTGTCCAATTCACCTTTCTTTGTATGGATGTCTGATAATAGGTTAAGGAAAAACATTAACACTAAGACAATAGAAATACAAACCAAGATTGTAAGCCTAATCTGCCATGTTATGCAATTGTAAGATAAACCAAAAGAAAAATGAGTAACATTTATTGGTGAAATCCTTATATAACACAACACACACAGAACTCAATGTTTGTTGTAATACTATCAACTTCAAAAGGATACTGACAAGATACTCCAGTATATCCACATCCCAGAAGTAGTCGTAATATTCATCCATAGCATCATAGCTGAAACATACAGGGAATAGATGGAAAGAGTTACTCACACTCAAACTTGAAATTCAAACAACCACTACAATTTATTCCCTATCATTTTGTTTGAAATTTTTCACGATAAGTGCATGACAAACATTTTAATTGATAGAAAGTCAACACAACCTCACCTGTTCCTCTCCTGTAGTACCTTGAAAGCTGTGGAGTAGTCAACCTCCTTCAAGAACTGACACAGTACTGCCACCTAGGATCAGGTCATGGAGGAACTGTCAGTGTGCCTTACAAACAGTTCAATCTTCATAAAGTCATGCAAACATGGCATCAAGAATGACATACATGTACAATGGTATACATGTTTTGAATGGGATGATGATGTTAATGTTGAACAATCCATGGATACAGGTACAAACCACTTCTGTTGATGTACCACATGGCTTTACTTCACAAAATACAGCTTACTAGTAAAAAGTTGGGAGGAAAAATATTTCTATTCTCCAGGTAAGGAAGGTAAAAACAAAAGTCTGGGCTAAATGAGTTTCCAATCAAACAAGCATTTCTGATGGGGACTCACATGTGTGTGACACTGTAGCTCCTTACAGCACTTAATCATCCTTTTGTAGACCTGTCAAAAAGAAGAAAAAATGCTCAAGATAACCTTCCAATTCGCAAATGTTTTAAACATCTCGAAACATTCATCAATCACCAGCCGATCCAGCAGGGTGTTCGGCCAGTGTTCGGGAGGCCAAATTAGTGAATGTGTGACAGAGGCTTAAAGGGGTGGTCACTGGTAACACACCCATAGTCATATTTTATTAGACTCACTCAGACAACGAAGGACAGAGAAGACTTGTTGGTAAAACAGAAGGCTTAGCATGATCTGACCTGCTCATCATACACTCCCTTAGGCACCTGGTGAGTGAAGTAGTCACTGCAGACCATCCCTGCCTGCAGGTAAAACCGCAGGGCTGCAGAGCACTGGCCTGCAGCTGCAGGGAACAATGTGCAAGTACATGTGATGTACAGGTACACACGTGCAGTTAAGCAGGAAAGGGAATACTTTTACAATTATTACCATAACAGGTGCATTGACACCGTACAAGTTGCAGTCCGAAATACTACAACAATACATACGATAACACTGAAAACACTATATTCTAATTGTGCATACGAGTGAAGAAACAAATTAACTATCGGTGCCTACTTAGACTTAGATTTACTTAGACTTTCAATCCTTACCATAGTTTAAATCAGCCTGTGTTTTCAGCCATGACGGTCGCCCAGGGTTGATTGACAGGGCATGTCCCAACAACTCTCTCAGCACCAGGGCCACCGAGTCATCAGACACATGGGAGTTCTTATGACTGAAACAGGTAGAACCATTGGTTAAACACTGATAAGGGCAAACAAATGAAAGAGCCGTTGAAAAGAGTTCATAAATAAATCAAGGAGACAAAGTCAAAGTGATTCCTGACCTATGTTAAGTCAGGAAAGACGTATACTGGTAACTTACTTTCCAAGACCTTGTGGCCACAGGGCAGCATAGTCATTACTGATGTCTTTGTTAGAATCATCCTGGAAAACAGAAAGAAAACAAGAGTGATGGGAACAAACTCAGTTAACACAAAACACAAAAAAAAAGTAACTTTTGATAAGTGAATAATATAGCAGAAGCACAGGGTTGAACAGTATTGTGATTATCAGAATTTGAAAAAGAAAACTGTACACATTTTGCCTACATACCTGTAGGATGTTGAGGATTTTCGCTAGACAGGAGATCATCAAACTGAGACAAACTGGGTCCTAAAAATGTACAGACAACAACGTCAGTGATTGATTAAACTGTTTGATTTACTGATGAACAGTTTTTGCTTAACTAGCATCACAATCAAAATGACCAGACTAAATGTTCCTGACAAGGTATATAAAATACATAACAATAGCCTGTGTGCCATCCTGTATAGTTACTACAAGCTCCCTATTGTCGGTGGTAGCCAGCAACAGTAGGGAGCAGGCAGTAACTGCAGAGGATGGCAGCCAGGCTAATAGAATAAGAGTACATCCCCCCCCCCACACACACACAAAAGAAGTTAATTTAACTGATAAGCAAACATGACCCCACCTGTATGTTCTTAAGGAAGTCTAAGAACTCTGTCCTGGTGAGAGGAGAGACAGCTGACTCCCTGTGTACCATCCCCATGGCTTTCCCATCACTCCCTCTCTTATGCTGGTGACTGTCAATGAACACTGATACCACTATGTGCAGGGAAGAGGTTCATGTATCATTCCTTAACTTTGTATGGTACAAAATACAACATTTACACAATAAAATGTACAACCAAATATCTAATTATGAACTATGTTAATTGCAACTGCAATATCCTTCATTACAAGAACTGAACAAAGACTATTAGAAAGACAATTAATGGACATATAGTAGAGGTGCCTAACAAGTTATGTTGGAATACTGACCAAAGTCCCAGAGTTCCCTGCCAGGCTGTCTGAAGGATTTGAGCATGGGGAGGTCCTTACTAACACTGGCTATCAGGTGGGCCAGCTGGAACAAACATTACTACATTACTACAGCAAGGTTAGCCTGGACAGAAGGACAGCAAAGCTCCGGTATTCAAAAAGCATCTTTTAAATTTCTTGTAACATTTGGTATATAACATAAGAAGCTTGCTACATACATTTTTTCTAGACAAATCTGAACTATACAACTTCGAGAGGTTCACAACTTACCCACAAATAGCTATTGCTGTAGACTCCTACAGTGTTGCGAGACTGGAACAGATATTCAAACTCTCTAATGTTGAGCAGGAATGCTGCCATGGTCTCATGTATCTCCTTCCTCACTGGAACCTCTGCATTGCAAATCATACACATATTCAGGAATTACTCTGATTCTGATTTAGCATACAACAAAGGGACAGTATGATTTACTTTTTGAAGCAAGAATGTGCTCATGTTTCCTTTAAAGTGTGGAAAAATTGCTTACAACTTGTAATATCCTTGATGAAAGTTGTTGGCCAGAAAGTTACACTATGTACATTTTTGTATGCTTAGATATTACAAGTACAATATCAATTATGGTAGTAGCACCAAATTATATTTCTTTTAACTCTTTATATAATACGAAGCACACAGTCTATCTGTAGAAGACCCTTTACCAGGGATCCTGGTACTGAGCTGGTTCTTGACCGCCTGTACCAGGTCCTGTGCCGGCTTCCTGCCGTCCCGCCGGCTGGCGTGGTCCGTGATGTCCAGCTGCAGCAGCTCGTTGTGCACGATGGCGCCCAGTCGGAACGACAGCGCTCGAACCTGCTCCACGCCGTGACGCAGCAGAACTCTGGCCGTAGGGAAGTCCTGGGGAGGAGGGTTGGAAAGAACATTTCACTTCAAAACTGTTACACTAGTCCAACAGCAGTATACAATAGAGACAATCATTTAAATCTACAGTACTAATGAACTAAGTGTAGAAATCACTTTTCAGGCGTAATGACAGATTTTATCGAATATATTTTGTGTCCCTATAAGGTATGATAACGCTACCTTCATACTTGCACAGTGCAGTGCCTTGGCCAGGATGAGGTACATGACGTCATGAGTGACACTGCCTACTGAGCTGTGCTGGTCCCACAGGAAGGAGGCATACTCACCAGGCATCTCCCACTACACAACAAACACATGGACAAAAGGTAAGCTTCCTATAGCCTTTTAGAGACTGTAAGGGTAGTAGGTTGTTAATTCATTGTGTCTAGGGCATGGTATTAGAAGGTGAGGCCCATCCCTCTGTTTCTACCACCTTTGCACCCCAACCAAAGTCAGGTACCCATTCTACACTTCATGGGTGAAGTGAGGAAGGTTGTGTAAAGTGTCTTTTCCAAGGACACTAAATCTAGCCAGGAATGCAAGGAATTTAACCCATGATCTCTCAACCTTGTGTCTGTTAGTCTCTGCTATTCAATAATATGCAGGGCAATCATACAGAAGTGATATTTCAAAAAAAGGTCTGTTTTGCTCAATATTGAAAGGTCGTCCCACCTTGTGAAAAGGCACACAGTAGGCAGAGTCTGTTGCCATGCCATGAAGCTCGATGACCAGTCTCTGGATAGTCTTAGGGCTGAGTGTGTGCATCAGGGTCTGTTCTAGATCACACTGCTGCTGCTGTCTGCTGCCTGAGGTGTGGACACACAGGGGGAACATTAGCATTAGCCTCAACAATCAAGCCCATATAGCAAGAATGTTACTGTATATTGTACAAAGTATGACTTAATAGCACAATTTATAATGTGGTGTGATTGTTAATGAATGTGTATTTTCTATTTTCTGTAAGGAATTAAGAAGTCAGTTGGTGCAAAATAGTATACCAAATATGAATGTATAATTATCTACAAACTTTCTATCAGACAGTTAAGTTAAGAGTTCCTCCACACCAGTCCATACCTGTAGACGTGTGAGGTCTCTCCCCTGTGTAGGCAGGTATGGTGGTCTGCTGAGGGATGTACTGTGCCCTGATGGTCTCTAGTTCTGGTGCTGTCAGGAGGTCCTTCGATGTCTCCAGTACTGACTCCAGTACCACACTACCACCCATGTGTCTCAACACATGTCTGTAGGCACACAATAGGGTCAACCTTACTGCAATTTGTTTATCAAAATATCTGCAAACAACATCAGCTCTTCTGCACTGCAATTTTAACAGCATACATTGTCAATTCCTTTATTTTGGTTGGTCAATACTACGAGACTACGAGAAAGAATTGACAAGTAACCTTAGGTAGAGGATCGACATTACTGTGTCTACATAAAGTTGTAACTGCCCACTGCAACAACACACCAGTTGTATTTACACTCAGTGCGTGGTAATATAAGCTACATCAAAATTCAAATGACATACACTAGGACAAAATCACAACAGCTTGGCTGCTGCCTGGCTGAACAGTGTTTGCAAAGATCTTAATTAGTATAAAAACTCACCCTATAAAATTCCACCATCCTTGTGTGCTGCCCCTGGTCTTTGAAACGGACTGACTGCTTACAGATCTACATGAAGTAGCAGCGGAAAAAACATTCTTGTTTTCATTGTGTACTTTTTGAAGCAAAAAATGTACCAGCAAAGAACAGTAATGTTTCCAGTAGCTTCAGAACTTGTTATGCAACTTTTGAAGTACATTTGTACACGTATGTCCCAAACAAATGTTTTGTTTCAGGAGATTGCTAGTTTCTCAGACAGGAGCCTGACCTTTATTGGGATCTCCATTACCTTGATGAGGAAATGCACCATGTCCTGTGCCAGGTGAGGTACCAGGTGTGTGAAGCTGGGCTGTACAGGCCGACCCTGCACCACGTTAGACACAGCGTTACAACAGCACACCTTCAGCCAGGTGTCCTGTAACCTGGGGATAGGACATATTTACAACTTAAGCTACAGCAGCGTACAGTAACATCATTTGGAGTCTAATGTTATCAGTAGTTCAAACACCTGTTATGTCAATCCTTCCATGTTGTTCATCATTCTCAATAGACAAAATGAAGAAATACAGATATAACTATTTTTAAGATGCTGTACTACTTACTTTTCCTCCTTCCTTGTCTTTTTCTCCAGCTCCTGCTCTAGGAAATGTCTGTAAGACGTGGGAACTTCTGCAGTCAGGTTGTCTCTCACCAGCAGCTCCACTAAACCTGACAACAACAAAAAAATACTAGTAGCTTGCACATCTAAGTTGCTTCATTTGACCATTTTGTACATATACATGTTGCATACATTACTGGAACAACATTTGATTTCCCATAAACAGTTTACTAAAGGTATCTTAAGTAAGTGTTACATATTGGCATATTTGACTTTATTTCTTTAGTAGCCAAACATATACAATGTATTATTACTTGATTATGAAAATTTCTTACCTCGTAATTGCTTTTCTGGACTGTTCCACTTCATCAAAGAGGGAGGTAGGTTTGACAGAGGGGGCTATCCCTGCAAGCCCCTGACATGCACTCAGGTAACCCTCAAGCTTTGCAGAGTCGATCTTACAGAAGATCGGATCATTTCAGCTGTGGGTAGAAAGGAGAAACAATCTTGAAAATGTTTGGATTGAAAACGTTTGTTTACCACATAAAGCATTTACTGTCATTAATATAAGGTATCACAAAGTTGTCCCTGTACACAACTGTAATACATTGAGTAACAGTTACTGTAACACTGCATGGCCTATATTGGTAGATACAGGACCATAAATACCTACCTCTTTTATGAGTTGGTAAGAAGAAGTGAAAGCCTTCAGTGCTTTCTGGTACTCGTGCTGATGGAAGTACAGGGTACCCAGGTCATACTGAACCTACATGTATGCAACATAAAGCATGATTTTGTAATTGCTGTAACAATACCTTCTGTAACCTGTATGACCAGCACCAACAAAGGGTTTAGAAATCTAGTGTACACATAGCTACTTAGTATTATACAATATAAGTTATATCAAAGGCAACATAACACATTACACTACAGACATATTTATTGAAATGATATCCCTACATATTGAAGCTGATGTGTTACTCTGAAAGGTGGTTATACAGACATAGACTATATACTACCTGACAGGTGATGTCGTCAGTGCTGACCAGCACGTCCCCCCTCCTCGTACCCCCTCCTCGACGGGTCCCCCAGGGACTGCACCGTGGGCAGATGGTAGGGGGCGCTGTAGGGCCACACAGTTCTCCAGGATACACACAGAGTCTGGTAACTGGTCACGTAACTAGGAAGGGACAGGGAGTGGTGTTAACACTTTCTGTCAGGGGGTGTAACAGAGATGAACAGTTCTCTGAAGAAAAAATCTTCTTTTGAAGACAATCACCTCCAAAATCTAATTCTAGAAATAGAACATTGAAATTATGCACTGTTTTGCTGCTACATGTATGTTATAGCATTTACATCTTCTTTGCATTTTCAGACACATCACAGTGAAGAAGGCACTTACCACCTTCAGTAAGGCTTCTGCTATCTCTCCTGCTGCCTGGGCAGTTCCCAGAATGCTGTGGACAAAAAATTTGACTCATCAATGATTACTGGTATGCAAGGACAAAGGACTAGTTGTCATGATTCCAAATCAAATTACTCTGTACTTATGAATATGTGTACATATAAATACATGTAATGGATCTTTTTCTTACTTGCTAGGAAATGTTCTGACTGGTTTGACAGGGAAAGAGCTGGACACTACCACTCGGATGGCCCTGCGGGTGAAAAGAAACAACAGTTCATTACATGCACAAAACACAACATTGTCATATACATGTACAAGTCAAGTTCTGCCTGCAATATGCCACCCAACAGCAAAGAATATACAGATGATCCTCAATCAATAACTTTAATAAGAAATATTTGGTTCTTTAGAGTTTTATTTAACAATACCCAACATATCCCTGCACTGTACCCCTTCCCCTTAGGTTTACCACTGAAATGAACGGTTGTCGATACAGTAAAGGTCATTATTTTGGAGAAGAAACAATAATGTCCTTGTCCTTGATACAGCCTACCATCTGTGATACAGGACCAGTGCGATGGTGGTGCAGTCTGGGATGGACGCCAGATCAATGTCCGTGTGTTTCACATCCGTGGGGCTGCGAGCCACACGTAGCAGCTCATTCAGCAACAGATTCGTGTGATGATTGGACAGGCTGTCAAAGACAACACAAAATTCAGAAACGATATTGATATATTAGATATTCTTGAATCAAGAAGGCAAATGTGTCTTGATACCAAATATCGCCAAAACAGAGTCTGATGCAAGGCCAAATGGGAATTTTATGGTACTTTCTGACATTCCGACACTTAATGTTACATTTTGCACCTGGTTTCCAGCTGGTTGGGGTCCCAGCGCAGGTGTGCAGCTGCCTGGAGTGCCAGGTGCCTGAGTGCCCGGTTACGTTTGTTATCGGCAGGAGGCTGGATCTGGTTCTGGTCATTCACCGTGGTCCTGGTGGCCTGGTCAAGGAACTGGACGATCAGCTGGGAGGCTGACGGGTCTGTGGACAGTGGGATAAACTACATGTAACGTTAGCTACTGTTACAGTAACGTTATAACGTCATGACACAGCTCTCTTGAATTGAAACTTGCCATGGATGTTGGCATCATTTTGGTATAAAAGGTGAAACCATTTTTTCTGAATCTGTCAACACGATAACTTGAGAAGGCCTTGATGGATTGTCTTGATACTTGGTAGGTGGGTAGGTCTTGATGAGACCTCAAAATGATTAGATTTTGGACCCCCTAGCGGCTTGTTATGGTGCTGCAGCTGAACTTCCGGTTTTGATATCTCATGATCTAGACATGCTATGGTGATAAAATTTAGATGGTAGGTAGCTCTTGTGTTGGGGAAGAAGTGATGAGAGTTTAGGCCCCCTAGCGGCTTGCTCTGGAACTGCAGCGATATATTCTTGAAAATATTCAAAAGGGGATAACTCAAGAACCGGTTGACGGATCGTCGTGATTTTTGGTGTGTAGGTAGCTTACGTGATGCTTCATATAATTATGTGACAATTATGCAAATATAGATATAATTTGCATAATTTATGGGGAAATTCTATAAATCAGCTGCATTCCATGATAGGACAATTAAAGCTTGTGACATTGGTAATTGACAACGAGAGAAACACAAGAAGATATTGATTATGTTAATAATGACCTAATTTGCATAATTAATAAGAAAATTTTATAATTATGTAATGATAACTGCCTGGAATTTCATACTTGTGGTATTTGAAAGTTAAATTGAGGTGAACATCATTAAACATAATTTATTCAAATCAGGACCTCATTTGCATAATTTATTAGGAAATGCTAGAATGCATTGTTTGTTAATATAAGACTGTTTTTTGGTTGAGATTATGATAAAATGATATAATTCATGAAAATTAGGTTCCTATTTCTTAAATTGGGGGAATAATCAAATCTACAATTTGTTAGTCATAAAGATTAACATTACTTGGCGAAGGTATGAGATCGGGGAACTCTAGTTTGTAATATACTAGTATATACATGACCTGGATATCATCTACATCTGGTTAATCTTAATCTTATCTTAATCTTAATAATACTGGCACAAAACCCTCTCGGGCATAGACGTCCATTGGTTAAGGTAACAATGTGATTGTTAGAACTAACTAAACTAAAGCAGGATCACAAGGGTGGCATCATTTTCAAGGCTCCATATAATTTAGCTAAAAGCCCCCCTCCCCCTTCACTTACCCGGACTTTCTGTCGACAAATGCTTGGACAGCAACGAAGGATCAAGCAGAAATTCAAACCAGGCGGGTGGCAGGGGTGACTGGGACCGCGACGGCGGCCGCTCGGCGTCAGGGTCGTTCATTGTGTTAACTTATGGCTAAAGTGAAGCTAGACCAACGAGAAAGTTGATTTGATCATGCCGCCATGTTGAGCCAAATGATGCTACAAAAGCGACCTCTATCTGTTCACATAGTACGGCAGCCATAAAAATTAAGTCTCGACGCCGCTGTTCAACGTTTGCAGGTAACATATATCTCATCTAAATGTACAAAACCGGTCCAAGGATATGAAAAAATTCAAAAGCGTTCATAATTTGACGGTTCATCGATGACAGGAAAAATTCCTTATTGAAAACAGTGGTGTAATACTGCGCTGTTTAACAGGCGGCGCTTTTGTACCATGAACCAACTTTCCACTGTGAATGCCACTAGCCTCAATCAATGCCTCAATCAACCTTTTTGGTCCAACAAATGATCTGCTGCAGATACTAACTCCTTGCAATTGGCCCAATATCTGCACATATCTACTTGGGACGATTCTTACTATTTTCTTTCTGTAAACTCCGTCTGAAGCTTCATATAGATAGGCCTAGATAATGAGTGCAGATTGTTATGGGCAAGACACCTGATTATGATATGATGATGATGAATGTTAACGTTATACGTATTCATTGCTAAACTTATATAAACCAATTCACACAGAGTAGATCTTAAATTAAGACCTTTATTTGCAAGAAAGAAAATTAGGTATTTCCAAAACTTGTGATCTAAGATCTTACATGTATATCTGACAGATCATACACAGCTTGTTCAGACATTTGACAATGATCAAAAAAATAACTTTCCAACTGCTGTTGTTATCAAACATGTAGTTCCATAAAGTGGATTGTATTTGACAAGATACTTTTATTTCCTTTAACAGGTGATTTGCTGTTACATTACATCTATGAGAAGAATAATCTCTAAACAAAGAAGTGTCCATTTCAAGCAGTTGTCCCTCCATCAACTGTTCTCTCCCTCAGTCTCTCACCCTCATCTCCTCTTGAACCTAGAAAACATAAATAAATGAAGGAAGAAAATGGTGAGACCTAAATGTGACTCTAATTGAAATCATGTGTTGTTAATACATGTATTTTCAATCCAGATAACACCAAAATGTCACACATTAAAGTGACATTTACTTTATTACAGCAAACAACTGGGCACTCCATCTGTAAGTTCAGAAAGTCATCATAACATACCTATTTTTGGACTTGAAGTTTCCTTTAGACTTCTTAGACATCCCAAGTCTTTTTCTGTCCTCATATGACGGCCTGTGATTGGTGAGATGAACAGGTAATTAAGTAATTCAATGTCTACATGTATGTGTCCTTCAGCTGTAGCGTAGGTCAACGAAACCTACAATATAAAATCTTACATAGCAAGGTATGCCTCCGTGACTAAAGTCTCAATAGGTGGTCACAAAACAATGTTAAGCGGTATCTTCATAAACATTAAGAACTAAAAGACCAAGATACCAAAGAAACAGTTACTCAAGCATCTGGATAGGCACTTTTGTACTTTGGTATCTTATTACCTCAATGTCTAACCTTTATCGATGAATGAAAAGACCAACATCTCAGAAATATCACACCTACCCTGCCCTGAACTTCTTCAGTGCTTTCCTACTGGTGTCTACCAACTCCTTATCAAAGGTAGACTTGGGACCTGTATTCTGCTTCTTCATCTTCTTAGCTGCTGAGAAAATTTATCTCATTTAGCACCTCTTGTACCATAAGAACATGACATGAGACAAGAAATAAGAACTGTGCACATCTTTACTAAGAACATGCAAAACATGAGCTGCATACAAATAAGTATCAACAGTGAGGCTAATACACTTCTTTTTTCAAAGGTCTAAACAAACAATATCTACAACTTGACTATAGAGCTACATTTTTGATGGTGACTACCGAAATACTGACCAGGTTTTGCCCCTTCCTCCTTCTCATAGAAGGCCTTGATCCTTTTGGGTTTCCTGTCTCTCTTGGCTTGTCTCAAGGCAAAGTCCTGGGCCTTCTGCATCTCCAACTGGACCCGGTCTTCAGCCTAAGACAACAACAAATGAAGTTATTGGGCTCTCCCTAAGCGGTGGAATAGTGGTCTTTCACTACCATGTTGTGACCTCAGCACCATTCAAATTTTGGTGGTTTTTCTCCCTTAAATTAGCTTGTTTTGGACAAATTTCACCCTTGAGCTACAACACTACCTTGCCCAAAATGTCTAGAAAGAGCCCTGATTATCTTCCACAGGAACAACAAACATCCACAAGATAATGTATATTTTCCCAAGGATTTGTACTACCGGTAACAGGTTAAGGAAGTAGCTTCAGGTACTGAGTAGCTTGTTAGGTAGAAAGGTACTTACATTGAGAGGAGCTGATTTGACATGTTTGCCTTTCTTCTTCCCCTTAACAATGGGTTCTCCCAGGGCCAGTCGAGCTGGAGGAGAATAAGAGACATACATGTACAGCAACAGACAAAAATAGATGGAAGTGAACTGCATAACAACCCAGTTCTGTGCTTGGACTTTGTTAGTACTAGCCTGGGTACCATCCGGATTTTCCTACGCAGTGATTTTTTCGAGCATTGCGTAGCGAAAATCCGGATGATACCCAGGCTACGTTAGCACATGCTGCTGCACTAAATCCATTGGTTTTTGGCTCTTTTTAGGAAGACTTGATAGTAGGGAGAACTTGCGGTACAAAGTCAAGTCAGTCATTTCTGTCTCAGGTGTACTAAAGAAATCCCCACCTTTCTCCTGCATACGTTCCTTATGAGTTTGGAACCAGCCTCTCTTCTGTTGGGCCATGTTGTCAGGACTGTTCAACATGTTCTGTACACGGTTCATCTGGGAAGGAAAAAAAACAACGTCATGCAGTCAGAAATCAAAACTCCTGTGAGGTGAATATCAAAGTACCGAGATTTCTTACTGAACAAGACATCAGCTGCCACAGATAAACTCAGCTTGAACCCTGACCTTGTTCTCTGTAGAAGCCATCTCCTTCTCCTCAGCCTCCAGCCGGAGGATCTCTGCCACGTCTTTTTCCATCTTCTCTATCTTGTCACGGTACTTCAGGATTACCTCTGGAAAATGTGCAGGGAAAGGTGTGGATAATGAACAGGAATCCTGTTGAGGTTTACTCCCTGCTGCCTCATCCCATAAGCAATACAAATTTGGTGCCAAAAGGCTACCACAGCAGGGGGAAGTTAAAACTAAGGATTGTCCAGAACTGCAACTACCTTCTCCATTAAACGATTTGAAAAGTACTGTGGACTGTAGATACATGGTACCTTGTAGTACATACCTTGTGGTACAACTCTACTTTTCACAGGATTCCTGGCATTTTTCACTACATCCTTTAGGTATCTCCTCTCCTTCTCTCCAACCAATGTGACAGCTCTGAAATAAAGGAAGGTAGCCTATAAGGATCCCTTTTTTTCTGCAAACACCAATTAGTAAGCTTTTATCTGTGACATGACATCTATTGCATGCTGGCAGAGGCTGTGATTAAGATGCAATGGGAGATTTCTAGCCTACCTTCCAGACTTGCCAGCTCTTGCTGTCCTGCCCACCCTGTGGATGTAGTGTTTCAGTGTGCTGGGCATGGTGAAGTTAATAACCTGTATTTCCAACAAGACAGACAATTAAAACATGTTGAAACAAATGTTTGTTACAGAATTATACCAATATTTCAAACATTAGGAAATGAACTGACCTTTTTGAAACCAAAAATACATGTACCACAATTAATTTTTTTAAGTAGAGAAGTGTACTTACAGTTTTGACCCCCTGTATATCCAGTCCTCTGGCTGCCAGGTCTGTAGCTAGTAGGACATCCACTTCAGCATCCTTAAACCTTCTCAGAGTCTCTAATCTCTGGGAAAGTACAACAGTAACACTGTTTAATGGTCATCTATAAAGAGCATTCAAAGGCTGTCATTGTCATCATTCAGCAAATGCAAATAGAATATTGGATAGTACGATGCTGAACTGAAGCGATGCCAACACAAGGGTACGTAAGAATAAAATTTTAAACATTGTCCTGGAAAACATTGGATTTTTTGGGGGGACTTTCCAACTTTGTTGTGTAATGTAGTACTACATAAGTAGCATTTCCCGTCAGTAGTTGCTGTTACCTGTGTCTGTGACAGGTTTCCATGCAGCTCCCCCACATTCAGCCCCAGCAGTCCCAGGATGATGTGCATGCGGTGAGCCTGGAGTTTGGTCTGGATAAACACGATACAGTGGTCGTGGAACGTCCGACTGCACAACGCTGAGGATGGGAGGAACAAAAAACAATTAGATTACTATAATACTAGCAGCAAAGAGCATTCTTTAATTGATTTCAGCCATCTTATCTCATTATTTAGAGATTGGGATTATAAAAGTCTTCCCACCTGCGATGATAGCCTCCCTGTCCCCCTCCCTGTTGGGACGTATCCTGATGAACTCCTGCCGCAGGTTAAAGGCCACGTCTGTGTTCTCATTCACAAACAACTTCACTGGATTCTCCAGGGACACGGCAGCTAGATCCTTCACCTGGGAACAAACAGACAACAATGAGCAACAAACTTACCATACTGTGCAAAATGTCAGTGGACAATACAAAAGAAATACATAATAATCAATAGTAAATTAAGGCTATAGGTAACATTGTATTTAGGTACAGGATATAGGGACTGGGAGCTTCTGACTGGGAGTTCTGCTTCTCGCTGCTATTGTATTGAACTCCAGTCAGAAGCTCTGAGGAGGTGAGATACAGTACGGGTTGTGTAAGAAGAAAATCCGTATATCTGTATGTCCTATTCTCAGATGCATTTAGGTACATATGCGTACTAGCAAAAATAGGCTGGCAAATAGGCTTTGTAAAAAAAAGTGGAATCTACTGTAGTTGTGCCTTTACCTGGTCAGACATGGTGGCAGAGAACAGCATGGTCTGTCTCTTCCTGGCACATAACCTGATGATTTCATTCATCTGTTCCTCAAAAAACTCATCCAGCATTCTGCAAAGGTGAAGAACAATCAGTTAGTCAATCTTTTGTGTAGCTACAGCTACAGCTACACTTTATGGACAACTCTAGGTTGGCCTTTAGGAAGCACTGGTTGTTGGGTTTTTGAACAAAAAGGTACCAATGATTGCTCATTTCTTGACAAAGACCGCAATTGTACAGTCAAAAATCTGGGTCAGTTCAATTTCTTGTGTTTGAAAATACAGTCTAAACTTCATAAGGTATATGTATCAATGAATTTTGATTATCATGTTGTAAGTCTAAGGAAATATTTGGCTTTTCCAATCTCAGATGGAAGATCCAGGTATGACTCACCTGTCGGCTTCATCCAGGATGAGGACCTCTATACTCTTCAGGTCGAAAGAAGGCGTGTTGTGGAGATGGTCGATCAGACGTCCAGGTGTGGCTATCACCACGTCCGGCCCCAGCCGCAGGGCGGCCTCCTGCGTCCTGATGTCCAGCCCTCCGGCCGCCAGGCTGATCTCCACGCTGGTGAACTGTGCCAGCTGCCGCGACACCTGGTGCACCTGCACGGCCAGCTCGCGGGTGGGGGCCAGCACCAGCACCCTGGTGACAGGCGCCTGCCGAGGCTTGTACAGCAGACGCTCCAGGACAGGCAGCATGAATGCAGCTGTCTTACCTACATCAGCAACAGTAGTACAAGTTGTTTGTCTGGGTATTATATGGTCATTTTACTGTTTACTATTATTTTAGTTCCTACAGCTACAAACAATGTACTTAAGCTGCCGAGTGGAATCAATCTGGTCAAGACTTCTTTGCAGAGAGAACAAAAGAAAATTGGCAGCTAAAATAGGTTTGGTAATCAAGCTATGGTTCTGAGCACTAAGCCGTTATGAATGAGCCACATACCTGTTCCTGTGGCTGCGCAAGCACAGACATCCTTACCCAGAAGGGCTACAGGGATAGTGGCCTTTTGAATGGGGGTTGGGTGGTGGAACTTCATCTGGGAAATAGCCTGAAGGAAAAAAACGGACATAGACAAGTCCTGGGTTACTGATAGCTTTCTTATCACTATGTTTTAAGAATTTAAAAATTTTTTGAGGTAAACTCTGAATAGAATAATGTTTAAAACATCACCCAACATCATTTTAAGAAACATTCTTGTACCTTAACAAGGGGCCTTGACAGGTTCATGTCTTGGAAGGTTATGGATTCATCAATGGGTGGTGCATCCACAAAGAATGTCTGATTTTCTTCCTGTAATCAAACACATAAATAGCAGTATTAAATGATTAGTACATGAATAATGTCATTTGGTCCATTTTTGGATTTCCTAATCAATTCTAGTTCTACAAAGAAGCATAAATATTGATGAATTGACAATATGGTGCAATACTAGTAATATATGGGAAGACTCAAAAATACTACATACCTCAGAGTCCTCCACATTCTCATCCTTCCCTGTAAGGAAGTGAAGAAGACCTTGAGATGTACTAGTAGTTTGTATGTAACAAGCACAAGCTGGAACTGTCAATCAGTTTTAAAAAATGACCTAACAGAGGAGACAATGTTGAATGTAAAACATGTCAAGGGAACTGATAGAGTACCTTTGTTGTCCTTCTTTTTCTTCTTTGTTTTCTTCTCTTTTATCCTGATTCTGTCTGCAGAAATAGAAATATGTAAAGTTATTGATGAGTTACGCAAAATACAACAAGGACAGTCAAGATTGTTGGGGATGCAGTAATGAACACATGGAGTCCTGCAAAAAGACTGCAAAGTTTTACACATTCTCTTAGTACCAGTATTACATACCTGCTATTGTGTCTTCATCAGAGGATGTTTCTTCTTCACTCTCATCCTCTTGCCCTCCCTGCTGAACTTCATCTGCACTATCTTCTTCTGCATCACTTTCATCTTCATCATCATCACCTTCCTGTTCATCTTCATCATCATCATCATCTTCCTCTTCATCCTCAACATCTCCATCTTCTTCCTCTACTACTATACCATCTTCATCATCATCACCATCATCATTGTCCATCTCATCATCCCCATCGGCCTCTTCTTCCTCCTTCTCCACTGAAGTTTTCGATGCTTTCTTTGTTGATCCTTCATCAGCAGCTTCTCCAGCTTGTTCCTCTACCTGTTTATGTTTCTGAGGGTATGATATCATACATGGTTTTTCAATCAAAAATATATTTACCCCATAGTAAACAAGTATTACTTACAGAGTTAGAATTATGGTACATGTGACTTACCAATAATTGAGTTGACACTAGATTCCTAACTGATAACACTGCAGAAGAATTTGAATGGTTCAGATGCATTCTTTATCAAAACTACAGCTTGTACTAACATGATACAGCTGATCAACCCAACTAATGATTTAGATGCATTTGAGTGAAACCAGGGTTTTGAAACTTTGTTCCCAGATTCTTCACTCACCCTTTTCTTCCTTTCTTTTCTGATTTGTGCTATCTTCTCATCCAGTGTGGTTGCCACAGCCTGCAAAAGAGTAAATGCAATTTGAAATGTTTGTCATCAAAGACATTTTGTATTTACTTTGTTTGTACAGGATAGTCATGATCAACATAATACAGAAGCCATTGATACAAAAATTTATTACACATTGAGCTGTAGTGTAATTCCCACCTTGTGTTTTAGTCCATCTATCTGGTAGTTCCAGCTGTCCTCCAAGTCTAGTTCCGTCTCCTCAAACTGGAATTCTTCCGTGAAATCAACATTTTTCTTTTTACTCCCCCTCTTCTTTTTAGGCTTTGGCATAACCTGTTATGTAACAATATACAATTTGAAAATGTCTTTTAGCCATAATACATGTATTCTAAATAAGTAAATAGCGTTAGACATTCTGCAAGATACGACTTGATATTACATTCACATGTGGACATTACGGTATGTCGCACTTACCAACATAACTTACGAATCTTCTCGGGATAGATCTAATGTTTGAAAAAAATGTAAAATTTAAAGGGCCAATCGAGGAACAACTGAAGTACTTACTTAGCAGTCTGCCTCTCTGAATTGTCAAACAGTCACAGTATACGTTTGATAGGCACCACATATTACAAGTGGCGATCGTTTTAAAGTAATTATCAAGTTTCCAGCTTAGCGTTCCATGTTTTGCCCACCACGTGTATATGCGGCCCACATGTGAGGTATGGCTTGGCCTAGAATATGGTAGGACGGCCACGAAAGACGGCCACGCCGCTATTGGTCAATTTCTCAGCAAGCTCCACGCTGCTATTGGTCGGGGTATCAGCTGCTACAGTGAGGGATAGCTAGCGGTGGGGAGGGCTGCCGGTGTTCCGGCGTTTATCCACAGCTTTTAGGGGCAAAAAACGTCAACCTTTACGGCTATAATCACTCCACTTCGGTGGATAAGCCACAAACATTCATTTGTGCGGCTCTTAGCTCTGGAAACCTTACAGGTAATGAGTGCGTGAGGGACTTGGGTCTAGATAACGTGTTAGGCCATGTTGATTTGATTATATGGATGACATCCGCGCGCGCATGAATTTTCGGCCGTTTCCAAAAAAAAAAAAGTTTTCAACCATACTGTAAATCGTGCAAAACAGTTGCTAAATGAGCAAAAATATACCATAAGTTGCAAGGAAAACATTTAGAAACGATACCAATGTCGTAGAATGCCAAAATCAAAGGAAAAAAGACAAAAATTTAAAAAAATGAATTCGAAGAGTAGATTATTCGCCATAACATATTCTGTGCCATTTGTTCAACCTTCATGACCACGTAGATTTCATAGTGAAAGCAACTTTTTTTTTTTTGCAAAACTTTTTTTTTATTCGCACGCGCGCATCAGTTTTGGGGTTCCCAGAGGATGTCATCCATATAATCAAATCAACATGGCCTTACCAGTAAAACCATTTCTACCTCCATGGTAAAACGCCGTACGGGAAAATTCCATGGGCCTTTCATAAATTATGTAGGGACCAGGTAAGGCACCGTACAGGTAATATTGGCGTGGCCCTTTCATCTAGGGACCAGGTTTAGGAACCATACAGGTAATATTTGCGTGGCCCTTTCATCTGGGAACCAAAGGCACCGTACAGGTAATATTTGCGTGGCCTTTCATCTGGGAACCAGGTAAGGCACCGTACAGGTGATATTTGGCGTGGCCCTTTCATCTAGGGACCAGATTTAGGAACCATACAGGTAATATTTGCGTGGCCCTTTCATCTGGGGACCAGGTAAGCCACCGTACAGGTAATATTTGCGTGGCCCTTTCATCTGGGAACCAGAGAGACATCGCGAGAGTGTGGCTGATCCAGGGTTGTGATTGGTCAACAAACTCAAATCAGGTCAGAGGTCAGTCATTTTCTTTGTTGTCAACACTTTATTATTGTTTCTGTGTCATGATTGAAAAAGTGAAGAACACGTGTTAATTTGTCAAATTGTTCAGGTACAGGTACAGGTCCGGACCTGTACCTAAACCTCTGTACCGGTACCTGTACCTGTACCTGATGTTACGTTTAGGTACGCAGCCCTAATACAGGTGATATTGGCATGGCCCTTTCATCTGGGAACCAGGTAAGGCACCGTACAGGTAATATTTGCGTGGCCCTTTCATCTGGGGACCAGGTAAGGCACCGTACAGCTAATATTCGCGTGGCCCTTTCATCTGTGGACCAGGTAAGGCACCATACAGGTAATATTTGCGTGGCCCTTTCATCTGGGAACCAGGTAAGGCACTGTACAGGTGATATTTGTGTGGCCCTTTCATCTTGGGACTAGGGAAGGCACTGTACAGGTGATATTGGCATGGCCCTTTCATCTGGGAACCAGGTAAGGCACCGTACAGGTGATATTGGCATGGCCCTTTTGTCTGGGGACCATATTAGGCACCGTAACAGGTAATATTGTGTGGCCCTTTCATTTGTGGACCAGGTAAGGCACCGTACAGGTGATATTGGCATGGCCCTTTCATCTGGGAATCAGGTAAGGCACCATACAGGTGATATTGGCGTGGCCCTTTCATCTGGGAACCAGGTAAGGCACCGTACAGGTGATATTGGCATGGCCCTTTCATCTGGGAACCAGGTAAGGCACCGTACAGGTGATATTGGCATGGCCCTTTTGTCTGGGGACCATATAAGGCACCGTACAGGTAATATTTGTGTGGCCCTTTCATTTGTGGACCAGGTAAGGCACCGTACAGGTGATACTGGCATGGCCCTTTCATCTGGGAATCAGGTAAGGCACCATACAGGTGATATTGGCGTGGCCCTTTCATCTGGGGACCAGGTAAGGCACCATACAGGTAATATTTGCGTGGCCCTCTCATCTGGGAACCAGGTAAGGCACCATACAGGTGATATTTGTGTGGCCCTTTCATCTGGGGAGCAGGTAAGGCACCGTACAGGTGATATTTGCGTGGCCCTTTCACCTGGGGACCAGGTAAGCACCGTACAGGTAATATTTGCATGGCCCTTTCATCTGGGAACCAGGTAAGGCACCGTACAGGTGATATTTGCATGGCCCTTTCATCTGGGGAGCAGGTAAGGCACCGTACAGGTGATATTGGCGTGGCCCTTTCATCTGGGGACCAGGTAAGGCACAGTACAGGTGCTATTTGCGTGGCCCTTTCATCTGGGGACCAGGTAAGGCACCGTACAGGTGATATTTGCGTGGCCCTTTCATCTGGGAACCAGGTAAGGCACCGTACAGGTGATATTGGCGTGGCCCTTTCATCTGGGAACCAGGTAAGGCACCGTACAGGTGATATTGGCATGGCCCTTTTGTCTGGGGACCATATTAGGCACCGTACAGGTAATATTTGTGTGGCCCTTTCATTTGTGGACCAGGTAAGGCACCGTACAGGTGATATTGGCATGGCCCTTTCATCTGGGAATCAGGTAAGGCACCATACAGGTGATATTGGCGTGGCCCTTTCATCTGGGGACTAGGTAAGGCACCGTTCAGGTGATATTGGCGTGGCCCTTTCATCTAGGGACCAGCTAAGGACTGTACAGGTGGTATTAGCGTGGCCCTCTCATCTAGGGACCAGGTAAGGCACCGTTTAGGTGATATTGGCGTCGCCCTTTCATCTGGGGAGCAGGTAAGGATTGTACAGGTGATATTGGCGTGGCCCTTTCATTTGTCAACCAGGTAAGTCTCCGTACAGGTAATATTTACGTGGCCCTTTCATTTGTGGACCAGGTAAGGCACCATACAGGTGATATTGGCGTGGCCCTTTCATCTGGGGACCAGGTAAGGCACCGTACAGGTGATATTGGCGTGACCCTTTCATTTGTCGACCAGGTAAGTCTCCGTACAGGTAATATTTGCGTGGCCCTTTCATTTGTGGACCAGGTAAGGCACCCTACAGGTGATATTGGCGTGGCCCTTTCATCTGGGGACCAGGTAAGGCACAGTACAAGTAATATTTGTGTGGCCCTTTCATCTGGAGACTAGGCCTAGGTAAGACACCGTACAGGTGATATTGGCGTGGCCCTTTCATTTTTCAACCAAGTAAGGCACCGTACAGGTGATATTGACGTGGGTCTTTCATCTGAGGAGCAGGTAAGGCACCATATTATTTATAATTTGTGTGGCCCTTTTATGTAGAAACTAGTTAAGAAAAGAATATTTGTGTGATTCTTAGGGACCTTGATATTGGTTCTTTGGCCCTTTGAAGGACGAGAAGCTGTCTAGAATGGTTCGAAGTACTGACTTTAACAGTGTTAGGGTTAGTTTATAGCAACAACATGAATGGTGAAGTCTGTTAGGATTTTACTCCAAAAGTAGAATAACTGGAAGTGGATTCTAGTAACAAAATGTAGAGCTAAGTACCGGTATGTGCTTTCTTGATTATTTTGGTCCATTTATATTGTTGTGAGGGACACGTGTAAGAATCAGTTTCTAAAACCTGTAAGAATCAGTTTCTAAAACCTCTTATAGAATATTCTAATAGTGACTTGTATGTAGAGTACATTCTGTTGTTTTGAATTTAATTCTGTAAGACTACTATATATACATGTACCTTATATGTGTACATTCTTCGCTCAATGCAGTTATTAAAGTCAAACTACACCTACTAGTATTCGTTTTCAATTGTCTTTCTTGTACATTGTCTTTGAAGTCAGGAACAAATATGCAAATACACAGAATGTGCCCTTAATATGCCTCTGACTATGACTGACACAAAAACTCTTGAGCTGCTGAATGAGCATGACTGCATGGTTGTTTGGGTACAATTACATACGTACTAGAAGAATGTGAATTAAAACTTCCCCGGGACGAAATATAGATTTTGACAAAACCTTAGTAAAACTAGTTTCAAATTAAAATTCTGAAAAAACATCTCGAGATGTTTTGAAAAAATCTGTAGATGTTTTGAAAAAATCTGTAGATGTTTTGAAAAAATCTGTAGATGTTTTGAAAAAATCTCGTAAATTTTTTGAAAACATCTGGAGATTTTTCAAAACATCTACAGATTTCACATTATATACATGCTACATGTAGAAATAGCATTCGGGTATGTGTTTGATACTTAATTCGGGGCATTTTAGAAAGGAACAAAGGGCTTTCGGAACATAAAGATTTCGGACCATAGGGCTTTCGGAACATAACGCGAGCTTAAAACGTACCGGCCGCGGGTTCCGTATCTCGTCTAAAACTGCACATATTTCTTTAAGATTCGGCTGATATGTTCATTGAAGCTTACAAAGTTACTGTATGAATTCCCGTGCTGATGTCGTAATTAGTCATTGAGTTATTTTCAATTGAAATTTGCTTCATTCAAACAT